TTGTATGAACTTGAGACAAACTCCTCATTGGGTTAGACTGAGGAATTGCAGGCTGCTGTGTTTAGGATACTCCTATGTTTAACCTGATCACAGACCTCACCTAACCAGCTGCAGCTCAGTGAAGGGAGGTGAACAGCCTGTCAGACACAGTAAAGGAGGTTGTCTCAGCCTATTACAGAGGGCTTACATGATGATGAAATGGACTGAGGCAGAGAATCATAGACATGGATAATAATAATAATAATCCTTGCATTTGATATAACGCTTTTCACGTCGGGAGGATGTCCCAAAGCGCTTCACAGAACACACTGTAAAGTGAATTGACTGTATATTTGTGGGCGAACGCGGCAGCCAATTGCGCACAGCAATGTCCCACAAACAGTCGTAGATTGAAAATGACCAATTTTTATTATTGTTTTTTGTTTTGGAGGGATTATTATTAGGCTCTGTGTGGAGTAAGGAAACTTGCCCAAGGTTTCGCCCTCTGCCTGGAATTGAACTCAGGTCTCTCGCTTGCAAAGCAAGTGCTCTAACCACTGAGCTACAGGACTCCATGATCCGGTTTTAGATGCTTTGATGTTCATGTTTCTCCTCCTGTTTGGGTACAATTGAACTGGACATCAGTGCGTTTTTCACAATCAGAAACTGAGATTCATGGTGAGATCTTTTCTGCTTTGCTCGACGATTCTGGAACCAGATCTGAATTCTGTCTGGATGACAGTAGGAGGCCATGATTTCCTGCTCCAAGACTCAACCAGTACTAGTCCCATTCCCTATCTCTCCTCGACCTGCCCTGACAAATCACTGTATCCTGACAACCTTTTGGGAGACAACTGCATCCCCAGTGTCTGTACTGTAACCCCAGCACAGTGCACTTTAACCCCAGTACAGTGAAATCCAGAAGTGTCTGTAAACCCAACAGTGTCTGTACTGTTCTGTAACCCCAGCATGTTGGCTCTGTACCTGGAGTCCTGTAGCTCAGTGGTTAGAGCACTCGTTTTGCAAGCGAGAGACCTGAGTTCAATTCCAGGCAGAGGGCGAAACCTTGGGCAAGTTTCCTTACTCCACACAGAGCCTAATAATAATCCCTCCAAAACAAAAAACAATAATAAAAATTGGTCATTTTCAATCTACGACTGTTTGTGGGACACTGCTTTGCACAATTGGCTGCCGCGTTCGCCCACAAACATACAGTCAATTCACTTTACAGTATATTCTGTGAAGCACTTTGGGACGTCTAGAAGCCATGAAAAGCGCTAATTCAGATGCGAGGATTATTATTATCACTTTGTCTTTGGACATCACACTGTTGGAAGAATATCAAGACCCTAGAGGTGTAGAGGAGATTCGCTAGGATAATACCAGCGATGGGAGATTTTACTTATAAGGAGAGATTGGGGCTGTTTTCACTATTGAAAGGAGATAAAAGAGATGTAGTAGTTGAAAATGACAAGAGGTTTTGATAATGTAAATCGGGAGTAATCGCTGGTTGGTGAGTTGGTAACTGCAGGGCTGCAATTACAAATAGATTTTTGAGAGAGTTAGTAGGACAACGAATACCTACCACGAAATGTGTGAAACAGAATCCATAGTACCTTTTGAAAAGGAAATGGACACTTTTTTTTAAAAAGGGACTTGAGCGGGACAGAATTTAGAGCTCTTTCACAGAGAAACACATCGTGGTCGTGGGTGGACGAGCATAGCTGTAAGTGAATGAGTGGGTGGGTAGGTGTGGCTGTAAGTGTTTGGATGGATGGCTGTGGCTGAGTGAGTGTAGCTGTGAGTGAGTGGAGGATGGGTCGGTGTGGATGTGAGTGAGTTTGGTTGTGAGTGAGTGAGTAGGTGTGAGTGTGTGGGTAGATGTGGCTGTAAGTGAGTGAGTGGGTGTGGCTGTGAGTAAATGATTGGGTGGATGGATGTGGCTCTGAGTGAGTGGCAGTGAATGAGTGGAGGGCTGGTGGGTGTGAGTGAGTAGGTGTGGCTGTGAGTGTGGGTAGATGTGGCTGTAAGTGAGTGGGTGGGTAGGTACGGCTGTGAGTAAGTGATTGGGTGGATGGATGTGGCTGTGAGTGAGTGTAGCAGTGAGTGAGTGGAGGGTGAGTAGGTGTGAGTGAGTTTGGCTGTGAGTGCGTGGGTATGAGTATGGCTGTGAGTGGGTAGGTGTGAGTGAGTATGGCTTTCAGTGGGTGGATAAGTGAGTGGAAGGGTGGGTGTGACTGTGAATAGGTGAGTGAGTGGATCAGTGTGGTTACCAGTGAGTGATTGTGCCAGTGATTGAGTGATTGTGTCAGTGAGCATGTCATTGATTATGTGTCAGTGTATGAATGATTGATTGCGTTAGTGAGTGTGTGAATGAGTGATTGTGACAGTCAGTGGGTGTGTAAGGGATTGTCAGTCAATGGGTGATTGTGTCAGTGAAGAAATGGATTGATTAGAGGATGAGACAGTGAATGGGTGATCATGTCAATGAATGAGTGAGTGGTTGTGTAAATGAGCAAGTGGGTGATTGTGTCCGTAAGTGAATGACTAATTGTCAGTGAATGATTGTGTCGGTGAGTGTGAATAATTTAAATGAATGTGATTGTATTAGTAAATATGTCAGTGTTTGAGTGATTGTCTGTGATTGTGTGTCAGTGTGTAAATGAGTGATTATGTCAGTAATTGTGTCACTGAGTGAATGTGTGATAAAGTGAGATTGTGTAAGTGATTGAGTCGTGAGTCATCGAGTGTGTGAATCCAAAGATTATTACTGTGTCTCCGTGTGTTTATTATTGTGTCAAGTAAGTGTTTTGGTGAGTGATTGTGTCTCTTTATTGAGTATGTCTGTGTGTGCTCAGTGATTTTGTCAGTGAGTGAGTGACTGATTGTATCAGTGAGTTAGTGAATGAATGAGCGAGTGATTACGTCTATGATTGTGTGAATGATTGTGTCAGTGAATGATTGTCAGTGTCTGAGTTGCGATTGTGTCAGTGAGCGAGTGTCTGTCTGAGTGATTGGATGTGTCAGTGGGTGAATGATTGTGTCAGTGATTGCATAAGTGATTGTGTCTGAATGTGTGGGATTGTGAAGATGATTAAGTCTGTGATTGGGTCAGTGAACTGATGAGTGATTGTGCCAGTGAGTGAGCAATTGTGTCACGAATTAGTGTTTGTGTGAATGAGTGAGTGATTTATCAGTAATTGTGTAAGTGATTGTGTTTCTGAGTGAATGATAATTTCTCTGAGTGATTGTGTCTGAGTGAACGTGTGTCACTAATTGCGTGATTGTGTCTGTAATTGAGTGTGTCAGTGTGTGAATAAGTGATTGTGTCAGGAAATGATTGAGGGTCTCTAAATAAGTGAGTGTGTCAGGGAGTGATGCAGCTAGGTTTGTGTTACTGTGTGAGTGCGTAATTGTGTGAATGAGCAAGTGATCACTCACTTTTGTCAGTTAGGGGGTAAATGTATTTGTGAATGACGGACTGTGTCAGTGAGTAATTGTGCCTGTGAGTGATTGTGCAATGAATGTGTGAGAGATTGTGTGTGTGTGTGAGATTGCCGGTAAATGCGTATGTCAGTGAACGAGTGTGTACACGAGTGACTGTCAATAAATGATTGCATGAGTGAATCAGTATGTCAGCCATTCAGTGAGTGTGAATCAGTGAGTGACTGACTTCCCAACTGACAGAACCATCACCAGCTCATTCACACAATCACTCACCCACTCACTGACACAATCACTCACTCACTAGTGCACTGAGTGTGAGAGTCAGTGAGTGCGTGGCGCTGGCTGTTGACTCGCGGGCGGGCGGTTGGTGAGTGGCGGTTGGTAGCTCGCGGGCGGGCGGGCGGTTGGTGAGTGGCGGTTGGTACTCGCGGGCGGGCGGGCGGGCGGTGAGTGGCGGTTGGTACTCGCGGGCGGGCGGGCGGGTGAGTGGCGGTTGGTACTCGCGGGCGGGCGGTTGGTGAGTGGCGGTTGGTACTCGCGGGCGGGCGGGCGGGTGGTGAGTGGCGGTTGGTACTCGCGGGCGGGCGGGCGGTTGGTGAGTGGCGGTTAGTAGCTCGCGGGCGGGCGGGCGGTTGGTGAGTGGCGGTTGGTACTCGCGGGCGGGCGGTGAGTGGCGGTTGGTAGCTCGCGGGCGGGCGGGCGGTTGGTGAGTGGCGGTTGGTAGCTCACGGGCGGGTGGTTGGTTAGTGGCGGTTGGTAGCTCGCGGGCGGGCGGTTGGCTGTTGGTAGCTCGCGGGCGGGCGGTGAGTGGCGGTTGGTAGCTCGCGGGCGGGCGGGCGGTGAGTGGCGGTTGGTAGCTCGCGGGCGGGCGGGTGGTTGGTGAGTGGCGGTTGGTAGCTCGCGGCGGGCGGGCGGTGAGTGGCGGTTGGTAGCTCGCGGGCGGGCGGGTGTTGGTGAGTGGCGGTTGGTAGCTCGCGGGCGGGCGGGCGGTTGGTGAGTGGCGGTTAGTAGCTCGCGGGCGGCGGGCGGTTGGTGAGTGGCGGTTGGTAGCTCGCGGGCGGGCGGTTGGTGAGTGGCGGTTGGTAGCTGGCGGGCGGGTGGTTGGTGAGTTGGCGGTTGGTAGCTCGCGGGCGGGCGGGCGGTTGGTGAGTGGCGGTTGGTAGCTCACGGGCGGGTGGTTGGTTAGTGGCGGTTGGTAGCTCGCGGGCGGGCGGGCGGTGAGTGGCGGTTGGTAGCTCGCGGGCGGGCGGTGAGTGGCGGTTGGCAGCTCGCGGGCGGGCGGTTGGTGAGTGGCGGTTGGTAGCTCGCGGGCGGGCGGGCGGGCGGCGGTGAGTGGCGGTTGGCAGCTCGCGGGCGGGCGGGTGGTTGGTGAGTGGCGGTTGGTAGCTCGCGGGCGGGCGGGCGGTTGGTGAGTGGCGGTTGGTAGCTCGCGGGCGGGCGGGCGGTTGGTGAGTGGCGGTTGGTAGCTCGCGGGCGGGCGGTGAGTGGCGGTTGGCAGCTCGCGGGCGGCAGTGACAGCGGCAGTCAGTCTGACTGTGGTTGTGCGAGGCTGAGGCTGCGACTCTCTCTGCAGGATGGCTCGTTTCGGCGACTCGGTGGCTGAGATGCAGGGAGCTGGGGACGGAGGCTCGGAGCTGGGCAGGAGCCGGCAGGAGGTGTCGGTGCCGGTGGGGTCCTTGGCGAGCTCAGTGGCAGGTTCGGGACCGGGCTCGGGGCATGGCTCGCCCGCGGGCCCGGGCTACAGCCAGTCGAAGGCACAGCGAGCCCGCACCATGGCTCTCTACAACCCCAGCCCCGCGCAGCGCTCCTGCCTCAGCGCCAACCGCGCGCTCTTCATCCTCCCCGACAACAACCCGCTCCGCAGGTACGCGCGTAAACTGGTGGAATGGCCATATCCTCCCGGTGGTGCCAGGGCGGGAGGTCAGGGCGGGAGGTCAGGGCGGGCGGGGTGTGAGGGGGTGTGAGGGTGTGAGGCGAGCGAGCACGTGCGAGTGCGGGGACCTTGCGCGAGGGTGTGGAGTCTGTGAGGAGTGGGCACGGGGAGTGGGAGTGAGTGATGAGGGAGGGTGTGGAGTCTGTGAGGAGTGGGCACGGGGAGTGGGAGGGAGGGAGGGAGGGTGTGGAGTCTGTGAGGAGTGGGGAGTGGGAGTGAGTGATGAGGGAGGGAGGGAGGGTGTGGAGTCTGTGAGGAGTGGGGAGTGGGAGTGATGAGGGAGGGAGGGTGTGGAGTCTGTGAGGAGTGGGGAGTGGGAGTGAGTGATGAGGGAGGGAGGGAGGGTGTGGAGTCTGTGAGGAGTGGGGAGTGGGAGTGAGTGATGAGGGAGGGTGTGAGGGTGTGGGGTTTTGGAGCGTGAGATTGTGTGGGAGGATAGTGAGTGTGGTTGAAGGTGGGGAGTGCGTGAGGTGTAATAGTGTGTGGGTGGGGGGGGGGTCTGAGGACGCGTGTGAGGTGGCACGGGGTGGGGAGGGTGAGGTGAGGGGAGCAGGTGTGCGGAATGAATGTCGTGTGGGCATCAATTTGGGGACCGGGAATGTTGCATGAGGGTGGAGAGTGGGTGTGAGGGTGGGAGACCAGGCGCGATGTTTTGTAGGGGTGGGTTCCGTGGCGGATGGGTTACATTTGTAGCGTGAGATACGTGGAGGTTGCGGGGTGTCATGTGAGCTTTGTAGGGGTGGGTTGCGGGGTGAATTGTGTCGAGGGCTTTATGGGATGTAGGGTGTTTTTGAGGGAATGGCTTTCGGGGTTGGGTGTGGGGTACATGTTAGTCGGTGGGCGGTGGGTCAGGGTATGTCAATGATAGTGATGCCTGTCAAGTGAGTAGGTGATCAATCACTGGGTGGGAATGAGTGAGCGGGAGATCACTGGGAGTGACTGAGGGATCAATAGGAATGAGTGAGGGATCAATGGGAATGAGGGAGGGATCAATGGGAATGAGGGAGGGATCACTGAGAGTGAGTCAGAAAGTGAGTGAGTGACCAGGGAGCAAGCACTGACAGTGTGAATTAGTGAGAGTGGTTACTGATTTGTTTTTAGTCAACATGGGGTCTGACACAAGTGGTAATTCATCACCATTGCTTAAGAATATCCAAAACAGACTGTATACCCCCTATATCTGGACATTCCCTGATTCTGGGATTGGAATATGTACTCTCTATCATTGAAGAGACGCATATTGCTTACCTAATCTCAGAGAGCACGAGACGCAGGTTGACAAAAGACAGCTTTGGGAACCCCATTGGCGGTAATTGCTGGAATTTAACAAGCTAAAACCTCATAGCTTCCCATTGATAGCAGTGTTGAACAAGCTTTTTAGCAATTAGCAATTTGGTCTGCAGAGTTAACAACAATAACAATTTGCACTTATACAATGGTTTTCAGGTAGGATAGAGTCTCGGAGCATTGCACAGTGGCAGCGTTAGACACTGAGTAAGGGAAAAGGGAGAGGTGTGACCATAGGCATGGTCAAAGAGGTAGGTCTTAAGTTGGAATTTTAAGGTCGATAAAGAGGGATTGAGACAGGAGTTCCACAAGCTGTGAGTGTAGTGACTGAAGCCATTGATGGTGGTACAGAAGGTTTGGGGCTGCAGGCCTGTGTTAACTGAGAACGGAGGGCTGGCAGAAAAGTGGGCATGAGCAGGTAAGATTGGTAGGGAGGTGCTAGGGCATGAATGCATTTGTATGTGAGCATGAAAATCTTGAAGTCAATCATTTTGTAGGTGTTTGAACATGGAGTGGAGGGGAAGGTGTGAGAGAAGATGGGTGCAACAGCGAGTTCCAAGACTTCTGCAAGAAGTGTAGGTTGGCCAGTGTGTAAGTGTAGTGACAGTGTAACTGCTAATGGAAGAAGTCTGTAGGCAATTATTTTGTGATGATCCATTATCTGCACTGTTTCCATGTCCACACAGAGTCTTAGTCCCAGTTAGTGCGGAGATTGAGCTCTCTGTTGTGGTTTTGGTGGTAGTACCACATTAGACTGCCGAATGCCTGCTGTAAGAATATTCCAGGAACATTGTGCTTCATATAAAAGGGTCTGAACTATAAATATTCCTCAACCAACAGCCCCCCACTTCTCACATCTCCACCTCTTCTGTTTATTGCATGCCAGTCTCTGGGACTGCATTAGGCTATGAAGCTTTTCTCCCAGTGTACTGCTTCCATGTGTGTTGCAACCTGTATTACTCCATGCATCACTTTCATGTGGCTTCTTTGCCCCACAGCCTTTCCAGTCATTGTAACGTTTACTAAATGCGTACAAACACTATTATGTGAGGGTGAGAGACCAAGTCCACCCCCATCCTCAGCATTCTGGCACCTGCTACTTTTCTGCCTCCACATGCTGGCTTCGTTGTGTAACATATGTGGAGTGCGTGTAATCACAATTAACTCTTGCAGTGTTTAAGTGTGGAAGTGTTTGCATCTGTGGATGCATGTGTCTGTTCCAAACCTCAGTGAAAATGAGTGTCAAAGATCAAGAGTGTCAAAGAGTATGTCAAGGGCTGACCAGTGTGCTAGTGTAGTGACAATGTACTTAATGGAAGAAGTGCTTGTGTGAGCGTGCATGTGCACATGTGTGTATACTGAGGTGCCTCTGTTTACAGTCTTTCCCCAAATTCTGGATCAGCCTGGTGTGTGACACTGGTGAAAGACAATAAACACATTTAACCCTGAACGAAGCACACAGACATTATATTCAGTGTTTTTTCAACACAGAGGTTTTATTCCTGAATCAATACAGGTTCCTGACTCACTGGATTTGTGACTGAGCTAGCTTCACACTTCCCCTTAAAATCCAGGCTCCTTACTCACACTGTCTGTCACTGTGTTAGCTCCACACTTTACAGGTTTTATCTATAAATATGTCTGCTGCTGGGATATTCTCACTCAGAATTGCTGCATTTGCACACTGCAGCAAGTACTGAAGCTGTTCAAAGGAACACTTCTCAGTGCAGCCTCTGCCTCATGCACATTATATAGCATTCAGCACCATTTCCATGGCAACGCATCTCTCCAATTATATTCACTGCACACTGCAAACAACTCAATGTGCTCTGATCAGACACTCCTTCCTTCAGCTACAAAATGTTCTGCTTAGAATTATATATGCAAGCTAGATACACATATCTACATATGCATACATACATACATACATTTAGAACATTGTAAGAGAGGCTGAAATCTAATGTAGGGGTTCGGGGTGGGTACATTTAGAACAAAGGATCCCCAAAAGTGAGTTACAGGTTGGAATCTAATTGAGGAATTTGCGGGGGATTATATATAGAATAATGGATTTCTGTGAGTGAGTTACAAGCTGGAATCTTAATTAAAAATTTCAGGGGGTTTACGTATAGAATAAGGGATTTTGGGGTGAGTTAGAGCATAATTGAGGGTTGATGTAGATGGGGTTAACAGCAGACGTGGGAGGAGGTTTAGACTATATGCCGTGATAACAGAGTCTTTCCATTCTGCTGCTAGGGGAGGGGTAGGGGGCATCTGATCGGGATTCACTAGGCTGGATTCCTAATCAGATAATCTAAAGGGTTAAATATTGTGAGATAATCTCTGTACATTTAGTATCCAATTGTTATTTTAGATGGGCAAATTGCCAGTGCTAATAATGTTTATAGTTAGAGGGTCATTGTGCTAGTTTGTGGTGCTGTGTTAATAATTGATGCAAAGTGTTCCTGAGGTGCCTGTAAATGTGATAATATAGCGTGGTGATGTTCACAGATACAGATGCAGCAGGGAGTACAATCAGTGCATAGAAAGGTGTCGAATCTCTGTCTCTAGGGATACCGCCACAGCTTAACCACCATTTTCCCCCACCCGACACTGAATGTCTATAGCGTGCTTTGTTCCTGTACTCCAGTTTCCACTTGTTCCAGTCTCTGTTTTGGCCAATGACAATATGAACACAGCCTTAAATTGAGGAGATTGGTAAAACATAAAGCACCAGCAATGAGAGTGAACTGTTCCTAGCTGCAGGTAATTGATGCTTCAACTGTCAGTGTGGAAAAAACAGAGAATGGGTAGATGACTCTTTGAGGGAGCCAGCAAAGGGCTTGATGCCTTACCTCTGTGCTTAAGGTTCTAAAGTGCATTCAATATAGCCATATCCAGTACTCCCAGTTTGGCTACAGCATGGATCAGATACAGAGTAAAGCACCCTGTACTGTCCATCCAACACTTCCAGCTCACCTACAGTACAGTTACAGGGTAAAACTGCCTACACACTGTCCCATCCAGCGTACCAAGTTTAGGTACAGCATGGATAAGATACAGGGTAAAACTCGCTGCCCACTATCCATCAAGTTAGATACAGGGTAGAGCTACTTTACACAGTTCCATTCCACGGCAAATCTTGGAGTTGGAGAGGATTAAACCTCAGCTCACAAGTTCCAGAAACAAGCTTTGACGATCTTTCTACACCAAGCTGCTGTTCCAGTTTCCAGTCAGTCTTTGCTTTGCATTATTACAGTAATCCACAGATTTAAATGTCTTTTCTTAGAAACGCTGGAAATCAGGTCTCAAGCAGTGGGAGTCAAGTCCCCAGTCAGAAAACTAACATATCTGTATGATGCTCATTCTATTTGCCCCAGCATTACTCTACCTTCGGTTGGCCCTGCCCTGTTCAGTAATTGAGGAATTTTCTCTATTCATGGATGGAGTTGAACTCATTTGTTGCATTACATATTCCTTGTGGGGTTACAGGTAACCCCATAAGGAAGATTGCAGACTGCCAGGAGTATCTCTGTCCCATCCAGCATACTAAGTTTAGGCACTGCCCAAAAATTGTAATGCGCAAGAGCTAGCCCTGGCAGTCTGCCATTAACTGTTACAGGTGAGGTGGAGCCTAAAAGGGAGGAAGACAGGTAGATGTTTGGGGTAAACAAGGCAAAATACAGCAGATGCTGGAAATCTGAAATAAAAACAGAAGTCTCTGGGAACAAGCAGCAGGTCAGGCAGCATCTATGGTGAGAGGAAAGTAAAGTTAACTCACTTTTCTCTCTCCATAGATGCTGCCTGACCTGCTGTATGTCCCCAGCAACTTCTGTTTTTATTGGAGGCTTAGGGTAAATTCCTGCGCAGGTGGATTACTGCATGGATGTATTGCTGTATGTTTGGCTGCAGGTCGTAGCTGCATTGCAGTATAGGGCAATGTATGGCTGCTGTTCATAATCTAATTAAGGATTTGTGAATTTGTCCGATGTAGTTTCCCACATATGGCCAAGTTACAGCTATGCAATACACTGGGCGCACTGCTTTACTTGTTACTTGGTGTATATGGAGAGAAGGGGCAGTGTTACCAGGTGTGACAGAAAAGTGTTACTGTGTGTGCGTGTAGTAACTAGGGCAATGTTACAGGGGGAGGTGGTAGTACAATAATAAACCTTGCATTTGATAGTGCCTCATCATGTCAAGATGTCTCAAAGGGCTTCACAGGTCATACTGTAAAGTTATATGAGTCTAATCCTCATACACAGAATTCAGGCCCTGCTGGACCGGGTCTGAAACAGAAATTAATAAAAAATAATTCCACAGAGCCGCATAAAGACACCTGCCGGCCCCGCCTTATCATGCTTGCTGGCCTTTAGTGGCCAGGGATAGTGACTTTGATTCGGTTTGAATCCCTCTTGGGATTCAAACGATTCCAAAATGAAGTGGTGATGAAAAAAGCCAGTAAATGCCAGTATCTGCATTGCAATTAAACTTAGCCAGAAATTTTGGTTCGCTCGACCAGATTTCCCCCAAGCCCCTCACCCCAGTGGCTGTCAATTTGTGCATAGCAATGTCCCACAAACAGCAAATGAATGACCAATTATATTTGGGATATTGTTGGGCAGGACACCGGGAGAAGCCGCCTTCTCTTTTTGAATAGTGCAACGGGAGCTTAACATCCATCTATACAGCAGAAGTGACCTGGTTTAACATCTCATCTGAAGGCCAGCACCTCCTCCACAACCGCAATGGAGTGTCAGCATAGCGTATATCCGTTCAAAGTCCCAATGTCTATCTCTTCTCTCCATCTGTGACTTTGGTTCTCTCTGTCCCCTCGTTCTTCTTAATCTCGCTGCCGCCCATGACAGGCTATCACGCTATCCTTCTCCACTGTCTCTCCCCTCAGCTCGACTTTCATGGTTCTTTCCCGGTTTTATTCTTACCTATCCCAATGTCTTCACTTTGTCTCTTTGAATGGCTTCTCCTTCCGCCCCTGCACCGCCACATATGGCATTCCTTAGAGCTCTTCAAGGTCCTCCTCCTTTTAATGTTTACAGCTCCACTCAGCGATGTCATCTACATACACGGGGTTAACTTCCACATGTATGCGGATGACACCCATCTCTACCTCTCTGCCTCCACCCGTAGTTCCAGGACCACCACTTCTTTTCTGACTGATTGCCTGTTGGACATAATGTCCTGGATGAGAGCTAACTTTCTTCAGTTTAACATTGACAAGATGGAAGCTCTCCTGCTTGTCTCCCGTCAGTGCCTTCTCACCACAGATGTTGACAGCATCAAACTACCTTGATGCACACTCAAGGGCCAATGTCAGTTGTCTTTGAACCTCACATTTGGACTCTGTAATATTGCTCCGCCATTATCTCTCCCCTTAGGCCGCTGAGACCTTTATTGATGTATTCATCACATCCAGGTTCGATTACGCCAACTTTGCTCACCTGACTCTTCACTAGAAGACCAGACCAGAACGCTGCAGCTCATTTCCTTTCCTGCACTTGACTCCACAAGCTTATCACTCCCATCCTCTCCTACCTCCGCTGGTTCCCATCACCCAGCAGATCGAGTTCAAGATCCTTATCCTAACCTTTAAAATCCCTCAAGGAGTTCGTCACTTCCCGCCTAGACTATTCAAAGTCCAGAACCACTGCTGCCCTGACAGAATGTCTGTCAGACATCAAGTCCTGGATAAGACCTAACTTTCTTCAGTTGAACGTCAACAAGACCGAGGCTCTCCTGATTGGCTCCTGTCAGCACATCTACACCTCAGGCGCTGACAGCATCACCATCCATGTATGCACACTCCACCTTGCTAGGCCAATCCGGAACCGTGGCGTTTTGTTTGACCCTCAACTATCCTTTCTGCCCTACATCCGGGCCATGACACACTCTGCCTTCTCCCACCTTCGCAACATTGTCCGGCTCCGCCACTGTCACACTGCAGGCTACTGAAACCCTCGTGCACACATTCATAACATTGAGGTTTAACTATTTGCAAAATCCTTGCTTGTCAGCCTCCTCAACTTCTCCCTCCAGAGGCTGCAGATTATTCAGAACTCCGCAGCCCGTGTCCTCTCCCGCACTAGGCTCTGTGACCCTATCACCACCATCATCGCCTGACTCCACTGGCTTCCCATCACACAGAGTATACAGTTCAAGATCCTGGCCCTCGCCTTCAAAGCCCTCCATGGTCTTGTTCCCCCCTGCCTCTGCGACCTCCTAACCCCCTACCACCGTGCCCGCTCCTGCGCTCAGTGGGCTCCGACCTGTTTCACCTGCTCTGCCTCTCCTGCCCCACCATTGGCGGGCGGGTGTTCTGTCACTCTGCCCCCACCCTCTGGAACTCCATCCTGCAGTCCCTTCGCCTTGCCCCCTCCCATGCCTCCTTCAAGACCCATTTCAAGACCCTCCTCTTCAACCGTGCTTTCAATCATCCTGCATCCCCCCACCGCCCTCCACCCTACCCAATCCCGACCCCCAGCTCCAGACCGAAACACTGACTGTTCAGCGCCTTGGGACGTTCTCCCAAAGTGAAAGGTTCTCTAGAAATGTAATTTTGTTGTTCAAATGCTCTCCTCGCCAGTGTCCCCAGTTCCACCATCCACAAAATCCAGCCGATCCAAAATTCTGCCGGTCGCCTACATACCCGTACTAAACTCCGTATCCTCATTACACCAGTTCTAGTGAGGCTCCATTGGCTCCCTATCGTTGAACGGATCGATTTCAAGATCCTCACACTTGTTTTCAAATCCCTTCATGCCCTGAAACTTCCCTACCTCTCTGACATGCTTACTCCCACTACCCACTACCTCCGCTCGATTGGCTCCGTCCTCCTCGTACCTTTTTTCCACCATCGGTGGCAACACTTTCAGCCACTATTCTCCAAACACTATTCTCTGGAACACTCTTCCTCTATCCCTCTGTCTTGCCCCTTCCTTAGCCATCTTCACATCGCACCTGAAGACTTGCCTCTTTGACTGAGCTTATGGTTACCTCCCCTCTCCCCCTGGCTTGGCATTGTGCTCTGCCACTGTGAAGCGCTGTGTGAGTGGTGCTATGTAAAGTTGTTATGCTTATGTGGGGGTCTGATAAGGCAGTGTTACTGAGTTTATGTGGGAATTAACAGGGCTGTTACTGGTATAGCTAAGCTGTTACAGTGGTACAGGTTTTATGTAGGGTGTAATGGGGCAGTTGCCAAGGTTGCACGCTGGTTCAATGAGTTTGAGGAGAGTGACTGGAAATTGAGGTCAAAGGAGAAGAGAGGAGATGGTAACCAAGGAAGTTATTTATGTTGAGTTGTAGAAAATTGAGGCTCATCCAGGCATTGACAGCTGACAGAAGTAAATAGATTAGACCTGGAATCAAGAATAGAAGTAGAAAAATAAATTTGGGTGTCATCTGCACCTATGAAGAAGTTGACTTGTCTGCAGATAACATAATAATAATAATCCTTGCATTTGATATAGCGCTTTTCACATCTTCTAGACGTCTCAAAGCGCTTCACAGAATCTGCTGTAAAGTGAATTGACTGTATATTTATGGGCGAGATGAGGAAAAGGAGGGATTGGATTCATGCTGCTGCCCTGTGTTGGGGTGAATCTTTGTTGGGGAGGTGAGGGCTGGCTTGGGGAGGGGCCAGATTGGCTGGCAGGGCTGTCTCAGCGGGGCAAGGTGTCTCGGGTGTGATCAGGCTGGGTGGTGCTGGGCTGTGCTTGTCTGGCTTATTTTCCTTAACATAATTTCACTCCGTTCGAGTACATGATTTTAGCCACAATCATCGCAAACTGTATCGTTCTGGCACTTGAACAGCATCTGCCCAAAGGAGATAAGACCCCCATGGCTACAAGGCTGGTGAGTATTACTGATGTGTTCCATGTACAGCACAAAGTATTTATGTGTCATTGACAGGTTCATTACGAGGACAGTGTATCACTCACATGTTTTGTGTTCAAATGCGAAGCTGGTGCATTTTACTGGTGTTTTCTGTATTGGGTGCAAAGCTGATGTGCGTTACTGATGTGTTCAATATTCAGCATGGTGGATGGTACTGATGTGTTCTATATTTGGTACAAGACTGATGTATGTTGCTGATGTGTTTGGTGTTTAACTCAAAGATGATGCATGTAAGAAAACGTTTAGTATTTTGAGTGAGGCTGATGCATGTTACTGATGTGTTCAATATTCATTGCAACCCTGATGAGTGTTACTGACATGTTCTGTGTTCAATGTAAGGCACTGAAAGGTTCAATAGACCTGATTGAGATCTTGACGATTATGAAAGGTTAAGACATGGTAACAATAACAACAACAAATGACATTTATATAGTGACAGTCATGTCAGTAGGAGGTCCCAAGGCTCTGGACAATCAAGGGTTTGGACCTGAGGAGGGCAGGAATGCAGAGGAGTGAAGTGGGTGGGGATGGCAGGATGTATTTTGTAGGCAAATTATTACAACAGTGAGGGAGTAGCAGAATTTTTTCATCGGCTGATGTTTGAATATCCTGAGTATGTGGATATGGCACTTCGATGTGTTTAAACACAGGTTAATATGCTTTTTTTCTTTATTCTTAGGAAGATACAGAGCCATACTTTATTGGAATATTTTGCTTTGAAGCTGGAATCAAAATCATTGCTCTAGGATTTGTATTCCACAAAGGCTCGTACCTGCGGAATGGCTGGAATGCCATGGACTTTATAGTGGTGCTGAGTGGGTGAGTGTCTTGTACCTCACTCACGTCTGTGAGAAGGTGGCTATCCACATATTGTGTTTAACCTTTATAATTGAGTTTTGACTATGGGTGCATTTCAGAACCGTCATTGTTATTTTTCAGCAGGTTTGTCTACTCTGGTCTGGGTCATACAAAATAGAGAAAGTGTCAGAAAGAGAATCTCAGAAAGAGAAGGAGACTGTCCGAGAGAGAGAGATGGAGATAGAAATTTCAGCACAGAAGAAGATCCATTTGGCCGATCAGTGCTGGCTCTTTGAAATAGCAAACCATTCAGTCCCATTTACTACCTTTTCTCCATAATCCTACAAATTATTCCTTTTTAGATATCTATTTCCAGTGAATTTATTTCAATGTCTACAATTACTTGCATTTATATAGCACCGTTCACATAGAATAATAACAATGAACACTAAGAAAGATATGGGTTGATTTAGGACAGTCAACTACTAATGTATTCACTGAAAAGTAATAGCCGAAATTGTGGCATAAATCTTTTGTTCAAATGGGCTTTAAACATCCCATGGCACTATTGGAAAAGAAAAGGGAGTTTCTCCTGGTGCCCTGGCTAACAATTCAGAGAATCAAAGACAACTCACAGCACAGAAGCTGTATTAAATCTCTATTAAATCTTCCCTCAACCTTCTCTGCTCTAAGGAGAATAATCTCACCTTCTCTACAACAACAACAACAACAAGATTCCATTTATAAAGCGCCTTTCACGTCAGGAGGACGTCCCAAGGCGCTGCACAGTTGGGTCAGGACCCGAGCAGGGGGAAATGGTCAGGGTGAGGGGAGGGAAGGGAGGGAACGAGGAGAGGGGAAATGGTCAGGGTGACGGGAGGGAAGGGAGGGAGCGAGGAGGGGGGAAATGGTCAGGGTGAGGGGAGGAAGGGAGGGAGCGAGGAGGGGAAGAGAGTCGAGAGGGGAGCTGAAGGCACGGTCAAAGAGAAAGGTTTTGAGACCGGCCTTGAAGGAGGAGAGGGAGGAAGCGGCGAAGGCACTGGGGGATGGAGTTCCAGAGCCTGGGGGCTGAGAGGCTGAAGGCCCGACCACCGATGGTAGGGCGATTGGGGCGGGGGACGTGGAGCAGACCGGAGCCGGAGGAACAGAGGGTACGGGCAGGTAGGTAGGGGGATAGTAGGTCAGAGAGGTAGGAGGGAGCAAGGCCGTGGATGGCCTTATAGGTGAGGATGAGGATCTTGAAATCAATCCTCTGGGGGATGGGGAGCCAGTGGAGGCGAGCGAGGGTGGGAGTGATGTGGTCGCGGTGTCTGGTGCGGGACAGTACACGAGCTGCAGAGTTCTGAATGACCTGCAGTGTGGAGGGAGGTGGTGGGAAGGCCGGCGAGGAGAGAGTTCCCATAGTCCAGCCTTGAGGTGACAAAGGCGTGGACCAGGGTTTCAGCAGCGTGAGGGGTGAGGTAGTGCCGTAGTCTGGCGATGTTCCGGAGGTGATGGAAGGCGGTGCCAGTTGTGGTGCGGATGTGAGGGAGAAAGGACAGCTCAGGGTCTAGTCCCTCCATGTAACCAAAGTACCTCATCCCTGATATAATTAGGGTAAATCTCCTTTGCACTCTCTCCAAGGCTTTAACATCCTTCCTAAAATGTGGTTCCCAGAGTTGGCCAAAATATTCCAGCTGAGACCTAACCAGTAATTTATAATTCCCCCAAATAAAATTGGATATTCACTTCATGGTTGTTTATGGAAATTACTGTATGCTAATTGATTGCTGCATTCGCCTACAAATACAGTCACTACTCTTGTTGAGCACTTTGAGATGTCTCAACAATGAGAAAAAGCGTTATATCAAATGCAAGGACTACTATCACACTTTTCTGTAAAAATCTAGGGCAAAATACTCATTCAGTATCTCTTAACATATCTTCATTTTTCATGAGGAGGTTTTGTATTTGGAGATTGGAGAGGTTGGGAGGTGCTAGGATATGCAGTTCAGTGTGAAGGTCTTGAAATTGATCTGGAGAAATCGGGACGAGAGATGACGAAAGTGTGGATGAGGATTTCAGCAGTGTAGGTATGAGGTATAGTTGGAGGAAGGCAATAATTATAATGCTTCCATTTGATATATCTTATCACATCGTTGAGACGTCTCAAGCTGCTTCACAGAATATACTGCAGAGTGAATTGACTATATTTTTTGGATGAAATGCGGCAGCCAATTGCATGCAGTAGTTTCCCACGAACAGTCTTGAATTGAGTGACCGAATCTTTTTTCTTTTTAAAAGCATTACTTTTCAAAAACAAAATCACCAAAACTGAATCACACAAGGAAACTGAATTTTCACAGACAGTCACATACTATCTGGAATAAATTAAGTCAGTGGTAACCAGGCAACTTGTTCATCGGAAATATTATTTATATCAGCAGTTTTCGAATTTTGAATACAAATGGATGTTGCCTATGTGGTGGAGGTGAAGGAAAGCAGTTATGGTCAGGTTTATAACATAACATGTAGGAGCAGGAGTAGGCCATTCGGCCCTTCGAGCCTGCCCTGCCATTCAATCATGGCTGATCTTCTAATCTAACTCCAGCTAATAACCTGACCCTGCCTTATCCCCATATCCCTTAATCCCTTTTGCAATAAGATATCTATCTATCTCAGTCTTGAATATGTTCAAGGACTGAGCGTCAACAGCCCTTTGACACTTCCATACATTCACCACCCTTTGAGTGAAGAAGTTTTTCCTTAACTCAGAGTGAAAGGGCTGCCTCTGATTTTAAGGTTGTGACCCCTGGTTTTAGTTTCTCCAACCAGGGGAAACAATCTCCCACTATCTACTCTATCATACCCTTTGATTATCTTATAGGTTTCTATAAGATCCCATCTAATTCTTCTATATTCTAGAGAATATAGGCCCAAATTGGTCAGCCTATCCTCATAACTCATCCCTTTCATCCCTGGTACTAACCTAGTAAATCTACGCTGCACCCCCTCCAAGGCAAGAACATCCTTCCTTAAATGAGGAGATCAAAACTGCACACAGTATTCCAGGTGTGGTCTCACCAGGGCCCTATACAGTTGAAGCAAGACTTCCCTACTCTTATACTCTAATCCTTTCATAATGAATGCTAACATACCGTTCGCCTTCCTAATTGCTGCTGCACCTACAGACTAACTTTCTGTGATTGTTGTACAAGGACACAAGTCCCTCTGGACTCTAACACATTCCAATCTCTCCCCTTCTGAAAAATAACCCGCTCTACTGTTTTGCTACCTAGGTGGATGACTTCGCACTTCCCTACATTATACTTCATCTGCCACCTACCTGCCCAATCACCTAACCTATCTATGTCTTGCTGCATTTTTTTAATGTCGTCCTTTGTGTTGACACTTCCTCCTAGTTTTGTGTCATCCGCGAATTTAGATATATTAACTTTGATGTCCTCATCTAGGAAATATAAGAAATTATATCTTTCATCATGTCCTTTCTAATCTTATTTGCTTCCATTCTATATTTTCTATACTGTGAGATGCTAAAGGTGTGTTTGGCTGTGAGGCGCTGTAGCCAGGTTTGGCTGTGAGATGCTGAAATAATAAGAATCCTTGCATTTGATATAGCGCCTTATCACATCTTCGCGATGTCTCAAAGCACTTCACAGAATATATGTAAAGTGACTTTGTGTTTTGTGGGAGAAGCCAGGTTTGGCTACGAGGCTCAGTTTGACTGTGAGACTGTGGCCAGCTCCCTATTAAGGATAGTAGGGATCGCAAGTGCACATGCACGCTCATTCATACAAGGATAATTGCAGGAGCAGTAATTGGTTGCAGGATTGGGAGCTCCAGTGCCACTGAGCTCATAATAAGAGACTCTTTTCCCATCATGTGCAATTATCACAAATTAGCTGGAAAGTATTTCGCAAACACCAGTGTAGGGCACCCCCACAGTCTGACTGGGGGATACAACCAAGAAGAGATTCCAACCAAGCAATCTCTTGTGTAGTATTTTGAGGAGCTGTGTGTTGAGCCAGCTCAGAGCAGGTCAAGATTGAGTGGGCGGGGGAGCAATGGCATCCTCAACTATCAAACACTTCTTGCTTTCAGCACACAATGAAGTGTATCACACACCTCCAGCTATGTTCCGCCTTACACACTTTCAAATCATTTCAATAATTCTAGGGCTTAAACATTAAGCAACCTTTGGATTAATACACTTCTCATACTTCCTATACAATTGTCTTCTTACGTGTGGCTCCAACCTCCTTAATCTCACTGTACCTGTGCGCAACCTAGGCATTTTCACAGCACAGAAACAGCCTTGGTTAAAGTGACAAATGACATTCTGTTCATCTGTGACCAGGGCTCCCTCTGTCTCCTCATCTTCCTTGACATCTGCTGCCTTTGACACTGTTGACCATTTCATTCTCCTCCACCGCCTCTTCTCTTACCTTAACCTTCATAGTCCTGTCCTTGACTGGTGCAAATCCTACTTTTCTCTGACTGAGGCTTTGCTGATTAGCTCCAGTCCGCGCCTCCACACCTCAGGCACTGACAGCATCACTGTTCACGGATCCACACTCCACTTAGCTGAGCCAGTCTGGAACCTTGGCGTCTTGTTTGACCCTCAAATGTCCTTTCTACCGCACACCCATGCCATGATCCGCTGTGCTTTCTCCCATCTCCGCATCATTGCCTGGCTCCGCCACTACCTCTCTCCTCAGGCCCTCATTCATGCACTTGTCACATCCAGGCTCGACTACGCCAACTCCCTGCTTGTCGGCCTTCCCAACTCTTGCATCCACGAGCTGCAGATCATTCAGAACTCAACAGCTTGTGTCTTCTCCGGCACCCTATTACCACCAACCTTACACGGCTCCACTGGCTCCCTATCCCCCAAGAGGATAGAGTTCAAAATCCTCATCCTCGCCTTAAAAGCCCTCCACGGCCTTGCTCCTTCCTACCTCTGTGACCTGCTAACGCCATATCGACCTGTCTACTCCCTCCACTCAGCAGGCTCCAGCCTGCTCCACATTCCCCGCCCAATCTGCCCCATCATCGGTGGTCGGGTCTTCAACCTCTCTGGCCCTACCCTCTGGAACTCTATCCCACGGTCACTTTGCCTTGCTCCCTCTTGCCTCTTTCAAGCCATGTGTCAAGACCCTCCTCTTCAACTCCGCCTTTGGTCACCCTCCTACCCCTACTGTTCCTGCCTTCCACCCCTTCTGATCCCAACCCCCAGCTCAGATCCAAATCTCTGAGGCACTATACAAATGTAATTTCTTGTTGTCAGGTTCAATCCCCATGGCTTCCTCCTCTAACCACATCTGCTCCCTGACCAGGATTATTTTCCTCCAACTCTACTGTATCTCTCACGTATGACCTGTAGCTCAGTGATTAGAGCACTCGCTTTGCAAGTGAGAGACCTGAGTTCAATTCCAGGCAGAGGGCGAAACCTTGGGCAAGTTTCCTTACTCCACACAGAGCCTAATAATAATCCCTCCAAAACCAAAAACAATAATAAATTGGTCAATTTCAATCTACGACTGTTTGTGGGACATTGCTGTGCGCAATTGGCTGCCGCGTTCGCCCACAAATATACAGTCAATTCACTTTACAGTGTGTTCTGTGAAGCGCTTTGGGATGTCCTCCCGACGTGAAAAGCGCTATATCAAATGCAAGGATTATTATTATGACCATACCTCAAACCAATGATGCTGAAATACTCATTCACACTTCACCCTCCGCCTCAATTTCTCAAATTTACTAAAATGTATTTAAATGTTTTAAAACGTGATAAGGCGCTATATCAAAGGCAAGGATTATTATTAATAATGCCGGTCTCCCCAGCTCCACCATTCACAAAGTCCAACTATTTAAAAGTCGCCAGTTTCCCGATAAATCCAATCTTTGCCAGGCTCCACTGGCTCCTTGCTGTAGAACAAATCAATTTCAAGATCCTCATATTCACCTATACATCACTTCATATCTTGGCACTTCCCTACCTCTGTCCTTCTCACACCCTACTCTTCTACCCGCTCTCTGCTTAGTTGGCTGAGGTCTTCTGCATATCCTTTGATGCTGCTCCACTATTGGCTATGCTTTCAGTCACTAAGCTTTGACCCTCTGAAACTCCCCGCCTCAATCCCTCCACCTTGTTCCCTCATTGCTCGTCTTCAGATCATACCCAAATCATTTTTTTTAAACAATTATTGTAAGGAATTCTAAACCCTGACAACCTTTTTAGTAAAGAAACTCCTAACCTCTCCTCTGATTTTTCTAACAATAAATGTTTTTTTCCTATTGCCTTATCATACCTCTTCACAATCCTAATGAATCTTTATAATATCAATGGAAAAGCCCTGATTTGGGTCAGCTTCTTTCCTACAGTCTGTATATTATCTCATCTAAGCGAATCAGTGTTGTACCCTCTGTAACTTAGAATTCCTTCCTGAATTGGAAGCCCAAACCTGCTACAATATACAGTTGAATCCCATTATATAGTTAGGTCTGTAAAATAAGACTGAGTTATAATGGCTCTTGCAGCATGTAGATTCTTACATTACAAATTTAAATTTTCATAGCATCTTTTAAGTTGGGAAGACACCCATAGCGCAGAGATTCATCCCACTCATGTCTTGCTGCAAGGCAAAGCTCGTAATGGGTAGGATTGTCCTAGCTGGACAACCAGTGAGAAACATTCCTGTTTTTCTCTAAGTCTCTGATTTTCTCTATCTCTTTCTCTGACACGCTCCCAGTCTCTAACCCTGCACTGGAGACTACTAAATGACACCTAACTTTCTGTTACCGTCAAAACAAAAATCAAGTTTACATATTCTGGAACTTTATCCCGTGACTATCATCTTTCCCCCTTGACCCCCACTCCTCTTGAAATAAATGCAATTTGTTGTTGTTATAGTCTCTCCATTTACTGTTTCAAACATAGTGGCTTGCGGAATAATGTGGAACATTCACTCTTGCTCTTTTTCTCTCTCTCTCTGTTTCTTCCAGGATCCTGGCCACGGCTGAGACGCACTTTGACCTGCGGACACTGCGTGCTGTGCGGGTGCTGAGACCTCTGAAGCTGGTGTCTGGCATTCCCAGTGAGTCACACAGTCTTTTGTCTGATATCTCTAACAAATCTCAACACTGAGCGACAAGGCAATGAAACGCTATCTAAGCGGTGCTGACTTTGGAGTGCTGTCCTTGTCAGTCTTATTCTGCCTCTTTGTTCTCCTTGACCTCTCTGCCAGTTTTGATACTATTAACTATTCTATCCTCCTTGATCATCTCTTTTCCCTCATCTGCCACTGCTTGGCACCTCTCTCTCCTGATTCCAATCCTAACTGACCCACTGCCTCTATTTCATCTGCTCCAATGGCTTCTCCTCCTGCATTCACTTGGTCACCTGTGGTGTACTTCAGGGCTTTATCCAAAACTTCTCCTTTCCCTTATATATTTTCTTCCCTTTGGCGATACCTTCTCCAGGCACGGGGTTAACATCCATATGCATGCGGATGACGTTCAGATCTACTACAAGTCCACTAATGTTCTGTCCAATTACCTGTCAGATATTAAGGCCTGGATGAACTGTAATTTCCTGTAACTAAATATGGACAAAACAGAAGCCATCCTCCTTGGCTCCCATCAATATCTTCTCCCTTCTGGCTCTGATCCACTCACTTTTACTGGCCTCTCTCTCAAATTCACTGAACCAATGCGCAACCTTGGTGTCCAGTTCCATCCTCAGCTTTCCCTTCTCATGTGGCCTATAGCCAAAGATGTTTCCTTCATTTTCACTTCCGTCCCTGTCTCACACCCACCGCTGCTGGAACACTTATTCATTCCTTTGTTATGTCACCTTAAACTTTTCCGGCATACTCTGATCTCCTCAGATCTGCCATTCACAAGCTGCAACTCATCCAAAACTCTGAAACCTCCATCCTTGCCCAGCACAGACTCCTCACATCCCATACCACAGTCTTGCCAGTCTTCACTGTGCCCAGTGAATTGATTTCAATGTAAACACCCTCACTTGCAAATTAATGGCACGTCCTTATGAGGAGTCATGTAACTTAGTGGTTAGAGCACTCACCTCGCAAGCGAGAGGACCTGGTTTTAATTCCCAGACGGGGAAATGCTGGGCAAGTTTCCTTACTCCTCATGCCTCTGTTTACCTAGCAGTAAGTAGGAATCGCTTTTCCAGGGGTAATAATCCCTTAAATATAATAATAATTTGGTCATTCAATCCATAGCTGTTTGTGCGACACTGCTGTGTGCAATTGGATGCCGGGGTTCGCCCACAAAATATACAGTGAATTCACTTTACAATATACTCTGTGAAGCACTCTGAGATCGTCTCGAAGACAAGATAAAGCGTTATATCAAATGCAAGGATTATTATTATTATCTCTGATATTCTAGATCTCCACTTGCTCCCTCTCCTCGGCTAACTGGGGCTTGCTGTGCATCCTTACTGTGCTATCATTAGTGGCCATGCCTTCAATTCCTAAGTCCTAACCCCCGGAACTCCCTCCTCTACCATTCCATCTCCCTCCCTCTCTTTTAGTCCTACCTAAAAACCTACCTTTTCAACCAATGGCGACCTTCCCTTTCACCCCTCTCCCTTTGTGTCTATCCCCATCTTTTTAAAGCATTCCGAGATTTTTACTCTGTATGAAGGATGCTCCAGAAATGCAAGGTGTATTGTTGTGTAGAGGGAGTTTTACTCTGTGTTTAAGCCGTTCTGTAACTAACTGGGAGTGCTAGATAGACAGTGTAGAGGGAACTTTCCTATGCATATATTCAGTGTAAAAGCTGATTTTGGAGTCCTGGATAAAACACAGCACACTGACTAACCCTCCAGCCTTTGAAGCCTTCATAGCTTGTGTATTTGGAGATTTGGATGTGGGTGGGTGGTAGGGCTGTGTGCGTAACAGTGGTGTGATGTATGTGAGTGGGTGTGTCCATTGTGTGAACTGACCTGTACTATTTACCAGGCCTGCAGATCGTGTTGAAGTCGATTATAAAGGCTATGGTGCCACTGCTGCAGATCGGACTGCTGCTCTTCTTTGCTATCCTCATGTTTGCCATCATTGGCTTGGAATTTTACAACGGCATACTACATCGCACTTGCTATTCCAACGACTCTGGTCAGTGCAGCACCAACTGTGTGCACTTACATACTCCATACACGTCAGCCTGCACTCACACACTCCCCTCGCAGAGCATACACTGCATACAGTTAAGTGCTCCCTGCACATGAGGGTGTTCCCCTACATACTCCCAGTACACAACCACGTTCACTTATACACTCCCCATACACCACCATGTGCACTTACGCAATTCCTATATACAGCAGCGTGCAGTTTACATACTCCCTGTACAAAACACTGTGCACTTACACATCTTTGACACACATTGTGCACTTACATATCTGTACCCACAATGTGCACTTACACACGTTCCATGTTTTTTGGTCCGCTGGGTTTTTGACACACGCAGAAACCCATCACCATTCTTAAATGTAGCCAAACCAAACTAAGAGTTCCATGCATTCCACTTACACATGGAAATTCCAGACATATTTATTGGAATGGAATACGCATTCTAACTCTGAAGCATTCTTCTTACCTAAATCCAGAGATTATTAGGTACAGGTTGGCAAGAGCCAGTGCTTGGGGTCTGCAGAGTGTACGTTGGGTTAACTGTGGGGTCTAACCAGCTAAAAACGCATAGCTTGCTATTGAGAGTGCTGTCTGGAAGCTTTACTGCTGCTTGTCCAGCTAGGACCACCCAACTTGTTCTTTTGATTCCCGGGCAGGACAAAACCTTAGGCAAGTTTTCTTAATCTACTTATCTCTGTTTACCTAGCAGTAAGTAGGTTCCGATTGTTAGTCGATTGGCGGATCGCTTTTCCAGGGGTAATAATCCCTTAAAAAAAAATAGTAATGCTGTGGTCACTCAATCTACGACTGTTTGTGGTACACCCCTGTAGCTGCCCCGTTTCACAAAACACACAATCACCACACAAAACTCCATCCCTCTCTACCCCTCCGTCCTACTCACTCTCTATTTTTAAACCTCACCATAAAAATCTCCTGTTTTACCTCCCTCCTCTATCTCACTCAGCATCCAATTCCATCTTTGTGAAGCGATCCAAGACGTAATCCTAGTGCAGGGTACTATATAAATGCAAGTTGCACTTACACACTCACTGCACATGCATGCGCTTTCCAGAGTGTACTTACATCCTCATTGATTACACCAGCATGCACTTACACACTCACTGAATTCACCCACATGAATTTACTCACTACACTTGTCAGCATGGTGTGAGTAGGAGACACCAGTAGGTCTTGGGCAAGACCAGGGTCAGACTGAGTATTACTTAGGACTGTGATACAAAACAAAATTACATTTGTATAGCACCATCACGCTGGGCGGGCGTTCCAAGGCCCTGTCCAGTCAGGGATTTGGACTCGAGCTAGCTGAGGAGGAATCAATAAACCACAGGCCCTTATGTTGTTATACAGCCAGAGAAGGCCTGGAGCTGCCCTTCCCTTGTGGCACACAGGGACCGGCCCGACTCTGCCCAGATGGTATGGTGTGTGAATACTGGATTGGACCCAACAACGGAATCACCCAGTTTGACAACATCCTCTTTGCTGTGCTCACCGTCTTCCAGTGCATCACCATGGAGGGATGGACCACCATCCTATACAACGTGAGTGAGTTTCTTCCTTGGCATTATTGCATCTTTTCCCCCCCTCCCCCCCAGCCTCACAGCCTCTCTATCTCCATCCTGGCATTACCATCTATCTCTCTCCCCACTCTGGTATTACCACATACCTCTCTCCCCACTCTGGCATTACCATATCTCCCTCTCCCTACTCTGGCATTACCATATCTCTCTCTCCTTACCCTGGCATTATCATTCTCTCTCTCTCTCTCTCCCTCTTTCCTCACCCTGGCATTATCATCTATCACTCTCCCTCTTTCCCCATCCTGGCATTATCATCTCTCTCTCTCCCTCTTTCCCCACCCTGACATTATCATCTCCCTCTTTCCCACCCTGACATTACCATCTCTCTCTCTCTCCCTCTTTCCCCACCCTGACATGACCCTCTCTCCCCACCCTGACATGACCCTCTCTCCCCACCCTGACATGACCCTCTCTCCCCACCCTGACATGACCCTCTCTCCCCACCCTGACATGACCCTCTCTCCCCACCCTGACATGACCCTCTCCCCCCGCCCTGACATGACCCTCTCTCCCCACCCTGACATGACCCTCTCTCCCCGCCCTGACATGACCCTCTCTCCCCGCCCTGACATGACCCTCTCTCCCCGCCCTGACATGACCCTCTCTCCCCACCCTGACATGACCCTCTCCCCCACCCTGACATGACCCTCTCCCCCCACCCTGACATGACCCTCTCTCCAGCATTACTTTTTGTCTCTCTGTCTTTTCTTCCTTCCCAGCCCCCAACATCATCACCTGTCTTTCTCCCCCTCTCCCCGTCATCACCAACTATCTCCCCCTCTCCTCACCATCACTGCCTCTCTTTCTCCCCTTCTCCCTTGCATCATAGCCTCTCTCTCCCCCTTTTCCTTGCATCACCACCCCTCTCTCTCCCCCTTTCCCTTGCATCACAGCCTATCACTTTCTCTTGTCTCTCTCCCTCTCGGCATCACTAGCTGTGTCATTCTCTTTTCTCTCTCCCGACATCACCTCCTGCCTTTCTCCTCCCTGACATCACTAACTGTTTCTCTCTCATCCTTCCTCTTCCCCCCCCTACCCCACATTTTTCTCTCTCCCCTCTCTTTCCCAGCATCACTGTCTGTCTATCATTCTCCCAGTATCAGTGTGTTTTTTTTCTCTCTCTTTCCCTGTCACACTCTCTCCCCCTCAGCATCACTGCTCTTCACAGCATAACCACCTTATGGTGCTACAGACTGATATGCCTGTCGTGTCATGGGTGAACCTGCTCTCCTCTTATAATCTTTCAGACTAATGATGCCTTGGGCGCCCTGTGGAACTGGCTGTATTTCATTCCCCTCATTATCATCGGCTCCTTCTTTGTGCTGAACCTGGTTCTTGGGGTGCTCTCTGGGTAAGTGTCCTGTGTCACATATCGCACTTCAATGAAGTCCATCAACTAAATATCTGACTAGAACTTCTGAAAGAATCAATAATCTCAAATTGTTAAACCTGGATTCAAGGAATGTTTTTGATAAGGTGTCGGATAACAAACATTGCCAAAATTAAGCACTTGGGATTGATTGAAAAGTTCTAAAATGAATTGAGGAATGGTGAAGGAACGGTGGCAGAATGAAAATTAAAGGATCTTTGTTGGATTAGCAAAGATTAGTTAATGGGGTACGCAGGATCTGTGTTTGGACTTCTCTTGTTGGCTCTCTCATATATACAGTGGAAGCCGGTTAAGCTGGACACATCGGGGCCAGCCGTTTTGTCCGGCTTATGTGACGTCCGAGGCTAACCATGGTTCCATTACCTCTTCACGCCCAGCAGAGGAGCAGCGGTGGTGTCTCCTCCCTCCCATTGTTGTTCCCATTGGACGGGAAAGAGACCAATTAGCGGTGGTTCCGTGGTGGTTAACTGCCTGAAGCCACTTGTGGACGGATGGGCACTCTACCCATTCACAAGCGGCTTCAACTATCAATCACGATTTGACTCTTCCCATTCCATCCTTTGTTGCTTCCCATTCCTCCGCCCCATCAATGATTGACACCCCTACTCCAGAATGGAAGGAGTCCACTGCCAATCAATTATAATTTGACTCCTCCCATCTTCATCCTGGACCTGCTCATGGCTGAATGAAGGTGTTCCTGATACAGAAGGCGCGTGTGAGTACATTCAGCAGCAACCAGCGTGGCATTTTGTCCGGATTAACCGGATTGTTGTACAAATTAACTGACATATTTAAAACAGGTAAGAATACAAATGAATCAGGGCCACGCTTTTTGTCCAATTTACCTGGCATCCAAGGTGAACTGGCTTACATTGGTTTGTGTATCGGCTTGGCACAGTGGTACACTCTCTCCTCTTAGAAGGTTGTGAGTTCCAGCCCACGTTGAGTCTTGGAACCACATAGCCTAAGCTAACACTTCAATGCAGTGCTGGGGTATGTTTCATTGTCAGAGAAGCTGTCCTTCAGATGAGACGTTAAACCGAGGTCCACTCTGCCTGTTCATAGATGTTCAAGATCTCATGACAGTATTTCAAAAGAGAAGGGAGTTTATCCCGTTATCCTGGCCAACAATCCACCCCACCTCCCATTAAAAAATTGGTCACTCACTCCATGGCTGTTTGTGGGACATTGCTGTGTGCAACTGGTTGCCGCGTTTCGCCTACAAAAGACCTGTGTCCTGCTTAGACACAGGTCTTATATGCCGCAAGCTTGACCTGCATTGGGATATCGCTGTCATCGAAGAGAGACAAGCACGACAAGTGTGCCCTTCTCCCCTTCTCTGTGCATTCCCTCAGGATAATGTCCAAGCAAAAGCTGGACCATAAACCCCACGTATTGAGAAAAATCAACAACTGGGACTGATGCCTCTCGCATCTTCCAATCAATAGCCTTGATGTCCTCTCTTCAGAAGTGCAGAACCATGATTCCGCACGAGAGAACCCATCATGTTCTACTGAGTGGCCCAGTGTTCCAGCTGGCAAGTGCAATGCATAAGATCCCCAGGTGAGTCTGCCAACAACACAATAACATCTGTAAACAGAAGCTCTGCAATCCTGTCAGCATCTCTGGAACAGATGCACCCCCTTGAAGGCCAAAATATATCATCCAGCTGTTTGAATTATTTATTTTTTAATAATTTTAGGATTTTATTTTACACAAAGTTGTTAGGGATTGAAATGTTCTACCAGGTGTGATGAGCAAGATGAATGGAAATGAATAATTAACTCTTTTCAAAGAGATTGTCTTTATGGGTGAAAGAACCATATTGTAAATTTCTATGGTTTTATAATAATCCTTGTGTTTGATATTGCATCTTATCATGTCATCAATATTTCACGACGCACTTTACAGGATTTATTGTAAAGTGGAGTGACTGTAATTTTACATGTGAACATGGCAGTCAATTTGCTCACAGCAGTGACTCACAAACAGCCATGAATAAAGCTGTAAGAAAATCGTGATATTTTAGTCCAAATGTTGTGGCCATAGTCTGTTAAAGTTTCAGTTTTGGTGTGGTCAGTTCAAGTACCTAAAGTGAGTATGTGCTTCCATTGGACTATCTGCCAGTCCATCAACCCATCCCACGCTTTCATTGTGAGAGTCCTGTAGCTTAGTGGTTAGAGCCCTTGCCTCGTATCGAGAGAACCTTGGTTTGATTCCCGGCCAGGGCGAAACATTGGACAAATTTCTGTGTTCCACCCACCTCTGTTTACCTAGCAGTAGGTAGTTGTTAGTTGATTGGCGGATTGCTTTTCCTAGGGTAATAATTCCTTAAAAAAAATTTACTCAATCCACGACTGTTGTTTCGCGTTTCGCCCACAAAATATACGGTCAATTCACTTTATAGGATATTTATCAAAGACGTGATAAGGCGATACATCTGGAACTCCAGCCCGGCCCAAGGCAGCAAATCTGACCTCGTAGACCTTCTGTAAATCAGAAAGGATTTTGTTGGCCCCGCAGTGCCAGTGCGACTGCCGGGGCATGTACAGGGCAGCACCCCCCCACCTTTCCCGCTGAGCCTGCCAGCAGCTCTCCCATTGCCTCCTGGGCCGAGCGGCAGCTCCGTGAAAATCGTGGCCTGTGATTTTCTTACAGGCTTAACTACGATGTGGCTGACCAGTTTTATCTGGGGGAATTGTCGGACACCTTTTCAAATAGAGTTATGAGAACTTTACCTAACCTCTCTCACTTTCTCTTTCTCCCCATTCCATTCGCCACTCTATATATCCTGTGCGGTATCCTACTGGATGGACTATTTAAACAGCTTTACTCTGCATTTAATGTATGCTGTCGCTGACCTGGGACTTCTGGATAAACAATGAGGATGGAGTTTTACTCTCTAACTAACCTATGCTGGAGCTAACCTGGAAATACGGGATCCACAGTGGAGTTAGCTTTACTCTCCTAATACTCGTAATCTACCTCTTCCTCAGGGAGTTTGCGAAGGAACGAGAAAGAGTGGAGAACAGGAGATGCTATCTGAAGTTGCGCCGGCAGCAGCAGATTGAGCGAGAGTTGAATGGTTACCGCGCCTGGATCGACAAAGCGGGTAAGACTGAGAGACAGCATGACAGTCTGCTAGAGACTGAGAGATGAGGTTTGTTATATCATGAGGGATACAGGGAATAGGGATTCACTGGGAGTGAACTTTGTTTCAAATTTAGGGGTGGTGGGGTGGTGGTGGGAAAGAGTGTATATAGAATAACAGGTCCCTGGAGTGATTGTGACAGGTTGGTTCTTGCGGAATGGAGAAAACCAAATTTGATCACAGTGTTAAACTTAAAACTTGCATGTTTATTCACACAAATTAATCACCACAGTTAAAATCTCTTGACTAAATATTATTTTACTGTGTTTTCACAAATGGGAAACCCCATAACCTGTGTTGAGTTAATTTCCTGTTTCACACCCCCTCATTCAATGAAAACATGGGAAAACATTTTGCAGAAAATTGTGGGGATTTGATTGTTGCTATTGAGAGGTATATTTTACTGACAACCTACATTTTTTCACTTTATTGATTAAAAACTAAACATGAAGAAATAACTGACTGCGGGGCTCCAGGAGGTCACCACCCACTGCCTTTTGGGGCCCGCCACTGCACACAAAGGGAGTGTGAGACACACCTTCACAGCGACAGACACACACGCAGAGAGAGAGACACACACACTCACTCACAGACGGAGAGGGGTGGGGGCGCGGATGGGTGTGTGTGTGCGCGTGTCGCGGATGGGTGGGGGAGCATGTGTCGCGGTGGAGCAGGAGGTGAGGTTTCGCGGTTTTGGGCGGGGGTTGGGGCTGTGTGTGTCGTTGTGGGGGGTGGGTGTTACAGAGGGGTATGTGTGTAGCGGATTCCTCGGGAAAGTTGCAGCTGTACTTTTCTATTGGCCCAGGTCATAGGCCGGAATCTAATTGAGTGGGTACAGTAGTGTATGTGCAGCAGTCAGTGGCTCCTAGCTGTGTCAGAAAAACACACAATCACTCCATTTTACAATATATTTTGTGCAGTGCTTTGTAATGTCCTCCTGACACGAAAGGTGCACAATGGAAACCATACACCTTGGCTCCTGTTAACGTCTCCTTACCTGCAGCTCTAACCTTCTTTACCTCCCTGGTCTATCCTTCAGACTCCATGAACCTGTGTGTAACCTAGGCATCAGGTTCGACCACAGCTGCCCTTCCTACCCCATATCAGGTCCCTGACCAGGACCGCCTTCCTCCACCTCTGTCACATTACCTGCCCCTGAAAGGACCTCACCCCCAAGGCAGCCGAACCCCTTATCGATGCAATTGTCACCTCCAATGGCCTCCTTGCTGGTTTCATCAGCTCCATCATTCATGAAATCCAATTAATTTAAAACTCTGCCGCCTGTATCCTCACTCACACCAAACTCTGTAGCCCCATTACTAGCCAGGCTCCATCCACTGGCTCCCTATTACAGAACCAATAGATTTCAAGACACTCGTGTGCAAATCACTTAATTCCCTGGCACCTCCCTACCTCTCTGACCTACTTACACCCCACTGCACTCCCTGCTGCCTTCGCTCAGCTGGCTCTGCCCTCTGCATGTCCCTCATCTTTTCCGCTCCACCATCGATGGTCGTGCTTTCAGCACTATGCTCTGAAACTATTTTCTGCTTCATTTCCTCCACTTTACCTCTTTACCTATCTTCAGATCACCACTGAAGACCTTCCTCTTTGAGTGTGCCTATGGTCACCTCTCCCATCTTGATGGAAGTGCCGGCCTTTGAATGAGACGTTAAACCGAGGTCCTGACTGCCTGTTCGGGTGGACCTTAAAGATCTCATTGCACAATAGGAAAAAAAGAAGAGAGGTGCTCTTTCCCAGTGTCCCGGCCAACAATCCCATAGATAAAATTGGTCACTAGCTTCATGGTTTTTTGTGGGACGTTTCAATGAACATTGGTCACGTTTGCCTACAAAATACACACACTCTATACTTTACAATAAAAATCTAGTGAAGTGCTTTGAGACATGTTGATGTGATATGGTGCTATTATCAATGCAAAGATTATTATTATTACAGTGCATGTGCAGCAGTCAGTGACTTCTTGCTGTGTGGCTTTGGGGTATTGTGTGTAGCAGTCAGTGACTTTTGCGGTGCATGACTCTGACACTACATTCTCTGGTCTCGGTCATAGAGGAGGTGATGCTACTGGAAGAAAATAAGAATGCTGGCGACGTGTCTGCTCTGGAAGGTAAACTGTCACCTTGGCAACACCCTCTTCGTAGGGAAGGAGAGAGAACAGAGGGGGAGGGAAGAGAGAAATAATGGATGAGGGAAATAATGGAGGAGGGAGGAGGAGGGAGAACAGAGGAGGGGACGAGAGAATGAACGGGAGAGAGAAATAGAGGGGAGGGAATAGAGTGAAGCGAGGTAGGGGAGAGAAGGGAGGGGGAGAGGAAGAGAAAGAAAGGAACGGGAGAGAGAGGACAAGGGAGGTGAGAGACATGGAGGAGGGAGAGTGGGAAGAGAATAGGGGGAAGAGAGAGAAAACAAGGAGAAGGAGGGAATAAATGGTGGAGGATTAAAGAGAAGGGAGGTGGGACAAAGAGAAAGGGGAGTGGAGAGAAGGGGAAGGGAGTGGAGGGGAAGAGGGAAGAGAAGGAGAGAGAATGGAAGGGGGCAGGAGAAAGAGAGGGAGGCGGGACAGAGAAGGGAGGGAGGAGAGAAGGAAAGAGAAGGGGAGAGAGAACGTAAGGGGAGAAAGAAGGGAGGGGAAAGAACAGAGAGGGAGAGAGAAAAGGGAGTGGGGAGATAGAGAGAAGGAAGGGGCGATGAGAGGGCGAGAGGAACGTAGGAGAGAGACGGAGAGAAAGGAGGTGGAGAGAACAGAGAGTGAATAGAGGAGCGAGAGCACAGGGGAGGGAGGGAGAGAACCCAGTGAGAGGGACAAAGTATGAAGGGGGAGGAGATCACATGGAGGGGAGTTCAGAGGGTGGTGCGGGGGTTGGGTGTGCTCCTTCGATGGGGTTATCCTGTAGAGGCAATTTGGGGAGATCGATCCCCTGTTGTCCTTTAACTATTTTTCTTTTCTTGCTTTCCCAATTCAGTCCTTAGAAGAGCCACGATCAAAAGAGGCCGGATGGAGATGGTGCACACTGAGCCCAGCGATGAGCATTATACTGAGATCTCCTCTGTGGGTGAGTAAGGAAATGTGGGAGAGTCAGGAAACTTGGGAATGGAAAAGCAAGATTTTATGCATTTTACACATGGCAATTGAGAAGAGCAAGAGGTCATGTTGCATTGGTTAGGCCACAATGGAATATTGAATCTAATTTTGTGGTTAATTATAGAAAAGAGATCACAGCCATGGGGAGGGAACCAAGGAGGTTTAAGTGGAAATTATGTCTTAGTTAATGTGGAGAAACTTGAAAAGTTGTGAAGAAGTGTTATGGGGATCCAATGGGGGTTTCAAAAATATAACTGGATTGATAGGGTAAATAGAGAAAAACTATTTCCACTGATCTACGAATCCTGTAGATTCCTGTAGCTCAGTGGTTAGAGCACTCGACTTGCAAGTGAGAGACCTAGGTTCGATTCCCGGCAGGGCTAAACCTTGGGCAAGTTTCCTTACTCCACATACCTGATAATAATCCCTCAACAAAAAAATATAATAATTTGGTCACTTCAATCCACGACTGTTTGTGGGACACTGCTGTGCGCAATTGGCTGTCACGTTTTGCCCACAAAATATACAGTCAATTCACTTTACAGTATATTTTGTGAAGAGCTTTGAGACGTCTAGAAGACGTGAAAAGCGCTATATCAAATACAAGGATTATTTTTATTAATCAATAGGGCATCAACTGAGAATTATTAGCAGATAAAAGGGGGAGGGTAGAGTAATGTATTTACAGAAGGTTGTTAGAATTTAGAGTGCTTTACCACAAAATGGATGTTAGCTAAATCCATTAATAGCATTTAAAAGGGCATTGGCTAAATATCTGAGGAAAAATAATAGTAAAGGACTTTGGGAAAGAAGAGGATTAGAGTGAGAGTTCCAGTTGTGGGAGAGCGAGCACCAGCACATTAACAGTATGGAAAAAGCAGGGGAATGAGATTAGAATAGAGAGTTCCAGTGGGGAACGAGCATCAACACAGAAAAGATTGGGAGAGAGCAGGGAATGGGATTAGAGTACAAAGCTGCAGTGGGAATGAGCACCATCACAAACATGACATTCCAAGATTCTACCCTGTGCGAAAGACGCTATATAAATATGAGTTGTTATTGATGTGATGGGACAGAGAGTGGGAATGGGTTTAGAGTAGAGAGCTCCAGTGAGGGAGCTCAGCGGCCACCTCCTTTTCTGTAATTTCTATGTTTCTTGGTGTCCCCTGGCACATGACATAGCTGACAACTTTCTGAGGCATTAGGGTAACTCTCATCCATTATTTGTCATTCCTAGACTAGATTGCTCTGAAGATCTTCACTACATTCCACGTCCCCTCTTACGCTTGGCTCCACATGCTCATTATTCCCATATGCCAAGCTTCATTGGCTGCCCAGCATTACCCTAGCGGATCAACTTTAACATCCTTGTCCTGACCTTCACACTGTCACATTTCCTTTGACCCCATTCTCCTGCCCTTACCCTCCACTCTTCCAAGTATGCTCTTTTGCTTGTGTCCCACCCACTCAATCTAGCCATCAGTGGCTGAGCCTCCAGCCATTATACTTCTCTAGATTTTTTTTCTAAAAATCCTTCAGAACCGTAGGGCCAATGACTGAGGTTGTTTGTTCTTTGATGAAACAGTTCTTTTTTTTATGGTTCTGAGCTCCTGGGATTGCAGCGGAGAAGCTTCCTCCAGCCCATTTGTAAAGTCAAGGATCAAGCAGTGAGGTGGATTAATGGTAAACACGGAAAGCGGCTAAAGGGAGGGAGGGCTCCGGCCTACACTGACCTGTCATTGAGCACCTTAGAGGCAGAGTCAGCCTCACAGCGGGCACATCTATTTGCCAAAGCCTCTCACATGAGGACCTGAATTAAGTAGCTGGTGCTGAGTAAGCCTGGTACGCGGCATTGGATTTGCACCTCGAGAACATCAAGGTGCCTAGCACGTCACAAGCTAAAAGTCCTGTAAAGGTTCTCCCATCATGCTGAAGACAGATGTCCAATAAATAACTGATAAAGGAAACTTGGAGGCTTCCACCGACAGCTGCTGGAAGGGGTCACCTGTAGTCTGAGTTGATGAACACGTTTGTACTTGGAATCTACCTTGATTGGTTTGCAGAGAGCAGCTGCTGCTCAAGCTCTGCACCTGCAGTTGATGGAACTATCGCTCAATGGGAAGGGATGTGTATCCCAGATGTGGACAGGAAGATGGTGGCATTGCTCTTGCCAATCGCTTGGGGCAGAGACTCTTTCCTCAGCTTCTGTTAACCCTTTAAGCCAAAGCCATAACGGGTAGGGTGGTCTTAACTGCACAAGTAGCGGGAAATCTTGCAGACCGTGTTTTCAATAGCAAACTATGCTCTTTTAACTGGTTAGACTTCCAACAGTATTCCAAAGCACACTCTGGGTTCCCCAAGCCTTGTTCTTGCCAACCTGTGCCTAATACTTTCCGGAATTAGGTAAGCAGGACGAGAAGGAGCGCATTCCATTCCAACAATCAATCTTTGGAATTTCAAGGTGGGATGTAGCTCAATGGTTAGAGCATTCACCTCTAAATGAGAGTGACCTGGGTTTGATTCCTGGCAGGGCAAAATGTTGGCCAAGTTTCCTTACTCCACATGGCTCTGTTCACCTGTAAGTAGGAACCTGATAGTTAGTCAATTGTCAGATCGCTTTACCGGAGATAATAATCCTTTTTTCAAAAAATTATAATTTGGTCACTCAGTCCATGGCTGTTTGTGGAACACTGCTGTGCACAATTGGTTGCTGTGTTTCGCCCACAAATATACAGTCAATTCACTTACAATATATTCTGTAAACCCTATGAGCGGTCTAGAAGATGTGAAAAGCGCTATATCAAATGCAAGGATTATTATTATTATAACTCTATTTGGTTTGGGTACTCTTAAAGCATGGTGATGAGTTTCCACATGTGTCAGACACCTGGCTGACAAAAAGTATTTTTTCCTTTTTGGAAACAATAACAATTTACATTTATATAAAGCACCTTTCACATCAGGAGGATGGGAGCCAAGGATGGTGGGGAAGCTGAGGAGACCGCCGGCCGTAGCCGGTGGAGACCGCCGGCCGTAGCCGGTGGAGACCGCCGGCCGTAGCCGGTGGAGACCGCCGGCCGTAGCCGGTGGAGACCGCCGGCCGTAGCCGGTGGAGACCGCCGGCCGTAGCCGGTGGAGACCGCCGGCCGTAGCCGGTGGAGACCGCCGGCCGTAGCCGGTGGAGCCGGCCGTAGCCGGTGGAGACCGCCGGCCGTAGCCGGTGGAGACCGCCGGCCGTAGCCGGTGGAGACCGCCGGCCGTAGCCGGTGGAGACCCTAGCCGGTGACGACTGACAGCCCTAGCCTGTGGTGATTGATGGCTGTAACCTGTTCAGGGTCTCCGCTAGCCAGAGCAAGCATCAAAAGTATCAAGATGGCTGAAGGTTCTTCTTACTGTCAACGGAAGGAACGAATGCTGCGTATCTCTGTGCGCCACATGATCAAATCCAACACGTTCTACTGGACGGTCCTGGGGCTGGTCGGCTTAAACACTTTTTGTGTTGCTGTCGTCCATTACAATCAGCCTGTGTGGCTCTCCACCGTGCTGTGTGAGTATGTATATGGAGGGCAGGGGGTGAGGGTATGGAGGGCGTGGGTACAGAGGGCCATGGGTTGATGCCAGGGGTGGACTAGGTATTATGGAAATCAGAAAATTTCCCAAGCACCCACATGAATGGTTCCTCAGTGCCCGTGTGAATGGCTCCCGATGCTTGCTACCCCGTGCAGCAACCTAGTTTAGAAGTTCCAGTTTTTAAACGGGCAGATATTTCATGCTTTTTGATGCCCCCCACAAACCGACACCTCCCACAAATTAGTGCCCCATTTTCCTTGACAATCCTGAGCCCTTTGGGGAAGCTCGTCCACCACTGGATGAGGATGAGAGTAGAGAGAGCTGGAGGTTGGGTGTGGGGGCCACGAGCACTGGGGAGGAGGCGCAGGGGGCAATGAGGTGGTGGGGATGAGTGCGGCAGTGAGTGTGTTGTATGAGTGCATTTGAGTGCTTGTGTGTTTGCATGTATGTGCGCGTGTGAGGGTGTTTGTGTGTGTGCAGCAGTGTGTCTGTGAGTGCATCCCAACATTGTGTCTGAATGCATGTTGTGTGAGTGTGCTTGTGTGTGCATATGAGTGGGGTTGCAAGTGTGATTGTGATTCTGAAATTCTGCCGATCTCCTGCCAAGCTGGATCCTGCCAGCCTCCTGCCTAGCTGGATTGCGACCTCCCCTCTGCAGCTCTTACCTTCCTCTCTATTTGCTTTCACAGACTATGCGGAGTTTACGTTTCTAGGACTCTTCCTATTGGAGATGTTCCTGAAGATGTATGGTCTGGGGCCTCGCCTCTACTTCTACTCTTCCTTCAACTGCTTCGACTGTGGGGTAAGTGCTTGACAGATGCAGCTTTCCTCCACATTGCTCTGGGTCTGAATCACACAGTATGTTTACAATGTTCTTCCTGCAGCCTGTCTTCTTATGCTTTCTCTAGAGACAGAGTAAAGCTTTCTGCACTGTGCACCCAGCATTCCTAGGTCAGCGACAGCACAGGTTAGAGATGGATCTGGAGCTAGGAGTCACAAGCACCGTGTCTAAATTTGCAAATGATGTAAAGGTAGTAGACTGCAAAGCTGAACAGGATAGATTGGAAGAGGATTTGAACATACTCAGTAATTGGGCAAACCAATGGCATATGAAATTCAATGTACAGAAATGTAAAGCTGCTTCACATGGGAACAGAAAATCCAGGAAGTGTCTATTATTTAAATCGAAAGAAAATCTGCATAGAAAATGAAACGGATCTGGTGGTCCTGAATGACAATAAATTGAAGCTATCACAACAATGCTCGGTGGCAGTGAGTAAGGCAAACCAGATGCTGGGTTGTATTAAAAGGGCAATATTGAGCCGAAATGAGGGGAAATCCTGACACTTTATAAATCATTGGTGAGACTGCACTTGGAATATTGTGTGCAGTTCTGGTCACAAAAAGGATATTGCAGCGATTGAGAGAATACAGAAGAAGGCAGCCAGAATGATTGAGGGGATGGACTGTTGGGAACGATTAGGTAAACTGGGCATGTTCACACTGGAAAAGAGAAGGTTGAGAGGTGATATGATTACGGTTTTTAAGATTCTAAAGGGGCTAGATAATGTCGACCTGGATAATATAGACCTTAGGCAAGTTTCCTTACTTCTTATTCCACACAACTCTGTTTGCCTGGCGGTGAGTGGGAACCTTGTTTGTTGGTCAATTGGCGGATTGCTTTCCAGGGGTCACTCAATCCACGACTGTTTGTGGGATACTGCTGTGCGCAATTGGCTGCTGCGTTTCGCCCACAAAATACAGTCAATCCGCTTCACAATATATTCTGTGAAGCGCTTTGAGACGCCTCAAAGACGTGATAACAACAAGATACAAGATTCCATTTATAAAGCGCCTTTCACGTCAGGAGGACGTCCCAAGGCGCTGTACAGTTGGGTCAGGACCCGAGCAGGGGGGAAATGGTCAGGGTGAGGGGAGGGAAGGGAGGGAGCGAGGAGGGGGGAAATGGTCAAGGTGAGGGGAGGGAAGGGAGGGAGCGAGGAGGGGGGAAATGGTCAGGGTGAGGGGAGGGAAGGGAGGGAGCGAGGAGGGGGGAAATGGTCAGGGTGAGGGGAAGGAAAGGAGGGAGCGAGGAGGGGGAAGAGAGTCGAGAGGGGAGCTGAAGGCTCGGTCAAAGAGAAAGGTTTTGAGACCGGCCTTGAAGGAGGAGAGGGAGGAAGCGGCGAAGGCACTGGGGGATGGAGTTCCAGAGCCTGGGGGCTGAGAGACTGAAGGCCCGACCACTGATGGTAGGGCGATTGGGGCGGGGGACGTGGAGCAGACCGGAGCCGGAGGAACGGAGGGTACGGGCGGGTAGGTAGGGGGATAGTAGGTTGGAGAGGTAGGAGGGAGCAAGGCCGTGGATGGCCTTATAGGTGAGGATGAGGATCTTGAAATCAATCCTCTGGGGGATGGGGAGCCAGTGGAGGCGAGCGAGGGTGGGAGTGATGTGGTCCCGAAGGCTGGTGCGGGACAGTACACGAGCTGCAGAGTTCTGAATGACTGATGAATGATAAGGTGTTATGTCAAATGCAAGGATAATTATTTATATTATCTGCATGAACTCTCAGTGGCACAGTGTTGTAGACTGCAATTGAAGGAATGCTATGTGTGTGGGTATGTCTCTCTCTCTTTATATAGTCTTATATTTCTGTCCATTTCACAGGTGATTATTGGCAGCATAGTTGAAGTGGTCTGGGCTGCTATTCGTCCAGGAACCTCATTGGGGATCAGTGTTCTCCGCGCATTGAGGCTTTTGAGGATTTTCAAAATCACCAAGTGAGTAGAGATAATTATAGTTACAGTACAGACCTCCTAAAGGTGTTGCCAGCTATTAAGTATAGATTCCATGGATTCTATCTGTCTCTGGTACCCGCTCAGCACCCAATCTATACGTGTCAGCCTGAACAGTGAGTGCTGAGACATCACAGCCCAATTACATCCTCATTCATATTTGGAGGGGGGCTGTGAGGTGGAGGGAAGGGTGTAGGGTGGCTGGGGTGGAGGTTGTAGGGTGGCTGAGGGGGCGCCTGTGAGGTGCCTGAGGAGGGAGGGGTATGGTTGGTCGTGGAGAGGGGGGGGGTGGTGGCGTCAGATGTCAACTGCAGGGTGGCTGGGGCTGTTGCAATCTTGCTGCTTTTAAGCAGCCAGTGCAGGTTCATTATGACCAATCATTCAATCTGTAGGTATTGGGCTTCGCTACGCAATCTAGTTGTGTCATTACTCAGCTCCATGAAGTCCATCATCAGTCTGCTCTTCCTCCTTTTCCTCTTCATTGTGGTCTTCGCGCTGCTGGGGATGCAGCTCTTCGGAGGCCAGTGAGTATTGCATCCATGTAAGTACTCGAGTCCCCACCAGCACTCGAGTCTCTTCCCGCTCCCCACCTACTAAGCTTCAAATTTCTTCACCCTACCAAATCTATTCTCCTCACTGAGTTTCTTTCCCCCCCAACAAGTCTCTTTTCCTACACTTTCTCTGAATCTCATCCTCGCCTATTCTGAGTTTCCCCCTGCCAGCTCGCCTGCTCCTAGTGTGTAGCGGTGGCAGCGGGATTATGTGCCGGTGAGGGCGGTGGCGGGGAGGTTTGCGGGCGGAGGTGTGTAGTGAGGGTGGGGGCTGTGTGGTGGCGGGGGGTTTGTGGAGGGAGGTGTGTGGTGAGGGCGGTGTTGTGGTGGGGGGTGGGGTTTGAGGTGGGAGGTATGTGGTGGCGGGTGGGGATTTGCGGGGGGAGGTGTATGGTGAAGGCGGGCTGTGTGTTGGCAGTGGGGGTTGCGGGGGTTGGTATGTGGTTAGGGCGGTGGATGGGTAGGGGCCATTTGGCAGCAATCACCTGTTGGCGGTGACCGCATAGCGGCAGTGAATATGTGGAGAATATGTGTGTGCTACTATGTCACTGGCATGTTTCTTTCCACTGTAGCTTCAACTTTGAAGACGAGACGCCACCGACCAATTTTGACACCTTCCCAGCTGCCATAATGACTGTCTTTCAGGTAAGATATTACCATATTTTGTGGCACCCATCCAGGCTCTGTGTGTGTGTGTGAGTGCATGTGTGCGCATACGTGTGTTCCGTAGACAGTGAATGCTGGTGTAAGGTGTGTCCGTAATTTGTGGGTGTGAGAAGGAATGAGTGAACCTGGTCATGGGTGGGGTGTGAATTGACCCCTTGACCTCTGTGTTGGGTGAGATCGAAACTCAACTGATTTAGTAATACAGCCCAGCATCCTGCTTGCCTTGTTTATATCTGCCAGAGTCCTCAATCCCTGCAGCTGCTTTCCGTGCTTGCCACAAATCCACCTCATTGCTTGAACCTGAACTTTGCAAATGGGTCGGAGGAAGCCTCTCCGTTGCATCCCCAGGAGCTTAGATCCATGAAGGAGGACTGTTTGCCTTTGGTCTTCCTCCCACCTCTTTGCCTTCCCTCACACCTACACTACCCCTCCCCCATACTCGGGCCCCAACACCTGACTGCTCAGCGCTTTGGGACGTCCTCCCGACGTGAAAGGTGCTCTATAAATGTAATTTTGTTGTATGCCACAAGCTTGACCTGCATTGGGACCTTGCTGTCCGGAGTGCCTTTACTGAGCCAATAGTGAAGGGAGCTGGAGAAACAACAACAGCTTGTGCTCTTCATGTCGGGAAGTGTCTTGGAGAGCCTAACCGTGGCAGAGCCTGACGCTGAGCTAGGGAAGAGGAAGGTCTTCAGGTGTGATCTGAAAATGGGGAAGGAGGGGGCAAGGAGGGAGAGAGTTTCAAAGTTCTGGGGGTTGTGGCTGACGGTGGAGTGCAGGAGACGAGGGACATGCAGGAGGCCGAAACCAGCAGAGGAGGTGGGTGTTGGAGTGGGGAGTAAGCAGGTCAGAGACGTAACAAATTGGAGCAGTTCCTGAGCTGATAGCTAAGAGGTAACAGAAGTACAGATACAGTCAGTAATAATAATAATAATTCTTGCATTTGATATAGTGCCTTATCACGTCTTCAAGATGTCTCTAAAAGCGCTTCACAGAATATACTGTAAAGTGAATTGACTGTATATTTTGTGGGTGAAACACAGCAGCCAATTGCGCACATTATTTTATAATAATAGTAATCCTTGCATTTGATACAGTGCCTTATCACGTTGTTGAGATATCTCAAAGTGCTTCATAGGGCACAGGTAAAGTTGAGTGACTGGGGGTGAGGTGCTAACCGGAAGGAGCTCCTGAGATTGATTGTAACTAGCTATTTCCTCCTCAGATTCTGACGGGTGAAGACTGGAATGAAGTGATGTACAATGGCATCAGGTCTCAGGGAGGAGTGCGGACTGGCATGTGGTCCTCTGTGTACTTCATTATTTTGACTCTTTTTGGGAACTGTATCCTTTCCCGAGGCTGGCAGCTGGTCTCTCAATTGGAACCAAGGAGCGTCCACAGTGCTGAGTACAGGAATACTGTAAAACTTTCCTTTAATATTGTCCAACAGATGTTTTTCACATTCTCTCCTAGCCTTTCTAATTTCTCCTTTTGTTGCTTTTCTATGTCTAATATATTTTGTGGTTTTGTACCATATTGGTGTTTGTATGTAGCTTATTTCTGTAACTCTACAATCTCAGACACATTGCTGAACGTGTTTCTGGCGATCGCTGTTGATAATCTGGCCAATGCGCAGGAGCTCACTAAGGTAAAGTGTTAGTATGATTTCATTGTCACCTCATGGTAGGGGATGTCAAATTGTCCTCCTATCTTTCCATAATTCCCCTGGAGCCAGCAGCCGGGTACTTTGTCGCCTGGCTCCTTTACATCGGGATTGCAACCTCGCATTGTCCCAGCTTCAGCTAAACCTGCTCCAAGGTCAAGAATGCAAATACTGTGGCAGGACTACAATCCCAGCCCTTCTCACTTGTGAACCAGCCACCACCTCCTGACTCCCCACCACCCCCCTATCCCCATCCAACCTCTCTCCCTCCCCATAAAATGTATGTGTGTATTGCATCATGCTTAGAGGGGATGTGCATATGTTCACCTGCAAGTCCCACTGATTGCTCTGCACCTAGTCTCGGCGTGCACATTTAGCTGCCGTCCCTGACCCGAGCCACCCCTACCCAAAATGCCCCCGCTCCTACTCCCCACCACTTCGTTACTCCCACTTAGTACTTCTACCGCCATCCCCGTCTTCTCTCCCTCCTGGACCCTCCCACAGTCTCCCTCTGCTTGGGCTCATGGAAACCTGGTGACCCCGTCTTCCTCATCAATGCCTCCCTACCTGATTACACTTCTCACCACACACCCCGCCCCCCCAACGTAGCGGCGGGGTGCCCCTCATCTCCCAAACCTCCCCAGGTCTATCCCCTATTCCTCTGGCGCTTTCCCCTCTTTTGAGCACCTCACTCTCTTCTATCCCTTCTCGCTCTCCTTCAAAATTCTACTAGTTTACTGCACCCCAAACCTCCTGGCTCCTTCCTCACGGATATCTTCTTTCTCCTTTCATCCCTGTCCCTCTGCATAAAACATCTGCTCATATTGGGTCATTTCAACATTCATCTCAATTCCCCCTGCCCCAACTCCCCTGACTACGCCGCCCTCCTCTCCACCCTAAACCTCACCTTCCACATAAACTCCCCGATCCACAACCATGGCCACCCTCCTCGACCTCGTCATCACGTATGGCCTAGACATCTCTGATCTATCCAACCGAGAGAAGGCCATCTTAGATCACTTCCTCATTGCCGTCTACTCTCATATCACCCTCCCCTTCTCTAAACTCTCCACCTTATTTTTCTACTCATGGAAAAAGCTTTCCCCCCACCAACCCCCAGGTCTCTCACAAATGCTCTCTCATACTCAGATCATCTCTCCCTCTGGCCTTCCACCCCGTAGTGATCCAGACGCAGCCATCAAGCTGCTAAACGATCACCTCTCCTCAACCTTCAATTCCCTTGTCCCCCAGAAAACCAGGTCTGTCTCCGAGCCTACCCGTTCCCCCGGTCCAACAGTTATCTCCATTCCCTCAAATCCCAAACCCGGTTGCTCGAGCGCAAATGTGGCAACCAGGAGAATAATGAGGCGTTTACTCAATGTTTTGTTCCAGGATGAGGAGGAGGCCAATATTCAGAAACTTGCTCTGCAAAAAGCGAAGGAGATCAGCCCCATGTCTACCCCCAACATGCCTATCACTGAGTGAGTACATTATAGGGATCTGTAGTGCAATGAGTGGAGGTGCAGTCTCTTTTGTTTGAAATTTTTGCCTTGTTGATGTGGTGAGTATCTCAGAATTTCTTGTAAGTATGCTCCCAATAGAAAGCTAGAGACGGTCTGCTGGAAAGGCGGTAGGGTTTTCCACCGCCTTATCTCTCAGTTCCACCCTCACAGGTCTGTCCTTATCTGATTTCATTCTAACCTATCCCAATGTCTCTACTTCGTATCTCCCAATGGTTTCTCCTCCCAACCCCCGCAGCATCAGGTGCAGCTTTCCCCAGGGATCTATCCTCAGTTGTTTCCTCTTTAATATTTATATGCTCCTATTTGGCGATGTCATCCGTAGGCATAATTTTCACACGTATGGGGATGACACTCAACTCTCTCTGCCTTGATTCTTTGACCACCTCTGTTCTGAATGATTGCATGTTGGACATTAAGACCTGGATGAGAGCTAACTTTCTCCAGTTGAATGTCGACAAGACAGAGGCTCTCCTGCTTGGCTCCCGTCAGTGCCTCCACACCTCAGGTGCTGACAGCATCACTATTTATGGATGCACTTTCCACCTTATCGAGCCAATATGGAACCTTGGTGTCTAGTTCGACCCTTAAATGTTCTATAAACCCCACATCCATGCCTTGACCCATTCAGTTTTTCCTTACCTTCGCAGCATTGGCTGCCTCCTCCACTACCTCTCCACTCAGGCTGCCCAGACCCTTATCCATGCTTTCATCACATCTAAGGTAGACTATGCTCGCTGGACTATCCAACTTTTCCCTCAACAAGCTACAGCCCACCCAGAACTCTGCAGCTCATGTCCTCTCTCACACTGGATGAGGGAAACGTTTTTAGTTTTGGCACAGAAGGTTTCGGGTTCAAGCGCCACATTGGGACTTGAACTTGCATCGTCTAAAATGACACTCCAATGCAGTCTTTAGGGTGTATTGTATTGTTGGAGGTGCCATCCTTTGGATGAGATGTTAAACTGAGGTCCTGCTTGTTCAGGTGGACGTTAAAAATCCCACGGCCCTATTCGAAAAGAGAAGGGTGTCCTGCCAACAATCCCCAAAATAAAATTGGTCATTCACTTTATGGCTGGTTGTGGGACACTGTTGTGTGCAATTGGCTGCTGCGTTTACCCATGTCACCCCACTTCACAGTAAATCCTTTGAAGTGCTATACCAACTATTATTATTATTTATTTCTCTTGCACTTTCCCCATTATGTCTGTGCTGATACTCACTCCCCCATTGGCGTTCTTTAATCTAAACCCATTCCCTTGCTCTTTCCCTATCATGTCCATGCTGATGCTTGTTCCCCACTGGAGCTCTCTACCTGGTTGTGAGGTGGTATTAACTATCAGTGCTCTGATTGCCACCACTTGTCAGGATAGTAAGTCTGTACTGCGGCTCAGGGTTAATTGGTGTATGCCCTCTCAGATGGAAGTTTTGTATTCTCTGCGGTTAATGTCATGTCTTTTCTCACCAGAGGGGAGAAGCGGCGACGTAAGCACATGTCCATCTGGGAACAGAGAACCACTCGGCTCAGGCGGCACATTCAAAACAGCGGCCGTGAGACTCAGTTCCCTGAGGAAGAGGGGCGGCTACCGGCCCGCAGGTATCGCAGGCGCTATGCCAAGATCTTCGAGGCGGAGAGCACTAGCGGGCTGGAAGCACAAGAGGAGGCACAGGATGGAGAGAATGCAAAACGAGACGGCTTCAAGAGTCAGTCACTTCGCAATAACTGGCAAGACATTCCGGAAAATAGGAGCACATCAGTGAAAGTGAATGGGGACCAGGAGTATCGGCAGCGACAGTCATACCGGCGGGCAGTCGAGAACTCTGAGAATCTGAGGGTATATGGATACCGGAGCCGGCGCCGGCACCGCTCCCTACACAAAGAGATCAGGACTGGGCTGGAGACAGTGGAGCCAGGGTTAAACCGCAGGAATGGGAGCCGTGGAATCGGGAAGGAAGTGGGCCCAGGACAGGGGGTCACTGCTGCACAACACATTAAAGGCCCTGAGGAATACAAGCAGCAATTGTGCAGTGAGAACCGGCATGCACGGTAAGAATCTGTATTTACTAGGATACAATACCTAAGAAATGCCTCAGTCTCTAAATGATTCCTTGACACTCGACTAAAACAGCCTTGGCTGTTGTTTAGTGGCCGTGTCTGGGGGCCAGGCCTGGTTTGTGGCTGTGTGAATGAAGTTGGCTTTAGTGTGCCATTCGGTGTGGCTACTGTTGTAGTTTTGATGGGTGCTCTGGTACTAATAGTGAGATTCCTGTTCCTTCCAGCTGGAGTAACCACAGCCCCAGTGTGCAGGCTCCGAACGACAGCACCGATACAGCAGTCAGTGAGAACGTGGACAGTGTAAAGAATAGCAGGCTCATCCGGCAGTCCCCAAATGAGGAGACCAGCCTGCTAACCCTCCAGTTGGGCCCAAATAACAGCCAGAGCTCCCCAGGCCCACCAGCAGAGATGGGGCTGCAACAGACTGCGATTGAGATGGATGCTGCAGACACACAGACCCCGATGGACTCACTCGTTGCATCAGGTAAGTCTAGCATTTCTACAGGCAATCTGTAGCTCATAGCGAGATAATAAGGGACTTTATCCATATCAACTAGAAGGAAAAATTAACAAATATAAATGTAGATCAGTAATCAGTATTTAAACTGGAGCTGGAAAGTACGCTAGACTGATTTCCTCAAAAAGTGAAGGGAGTGCGTCAAAGCTGGGGGTATCTTAGATGAGTAGAAAAATTAAAAGTAAAATTAGATTTAAAAAAGACGTGACTAATCTAGAGATAATTAGTGAAACTAGAGTGTGCATCCACGCAGTTTGATGCTGTCAGCACCTGAGGCAAGAAGGCACTGAGAAAAGCCAAGTAGAAGAGTCTCTGTCTTGTCAACATTGAATTGGAGAAAGTTAGCTCTATCCAGAACTTAATGTCTGACAAACAATCAAAGAAGCAGTGATCCTGGAATAATAAGCTATGAGCAACGATTAAACAAATTCTTCAGTCTTTGAAAGGAGGCATCCCAGATATAACAACAACAACAAATTACATTTGTATAGCGTCTTTCACATGGGGAGGATGTTCCAAAGTGGGTGGGGACGGGGGCGGGCTGGGTGGGAAAGGAGGTAGGCCGGGTGGGGCCGGGTGGGGACCGGGGATATACTGGGCGGGGGGGGGATGGAGGCGAGCCAGTGGGGGGGGGGTGGATGGGGACGGGAGGGGGGGCATGCCGTGTGGGGACGGGGAGAGGGCTGGGTGGGGATGGGAGTACGAGGGAAGGGATCGGGCCGGGTGGGGATGCGGCTGGAGTCTGCTGAGCAGAGTTAGTAAACAAGTTGATATGGCATCAGCAGTTCATAGAAGTAGGAAGGAGCAAGGCCATGAAGGGCTTTGAAGGTGAGGACAAAGATTTTGAACTCTATCCTCTGGCAAATGGGGAGCCAGTGGAGCTGGGTGAGGGTGATAGGGTGACATATCGTAATAATAATAATAATCCGTGCATTTGATATAGCGCTTTTCGCGTCGGGAGGACGTCCCAAATTGCTTCACAGAACACACTGTAAAGTGAATTGACTGTATATTTGTGGGCGAACGCGGCAGCCAATTGCGCACAGCAATGTCCCACAAACAGTCGTAGATTGAAAATGACCAATTTATTATTGTTTTTGGTTTTGGAGGGATTATTATTAGGCTCTGTGTGGAGTAAGGAAACTTGCCCAAGGTTTCGCCCTTAAACATGTGTATAAGATATTAAATGGGATTGAGAAAGTAGATGCAGAACAATAATTTCAGATGCACAAAGACAATAGAATAAAAGGACATGGTTAGATTTGTAAAAAGAAATTTGACGACAGATATGAGGAATAATTTCTTTAACCAGAGGGTAAATTAACAACTGGAACAGGTTGCAGGAAGGGTGGTTGAGATGAGGACGCTAGGTTCCTTGTAAGAAACATTGGGTGCTGTGACAGGAGGATGGGTTCAGCAGGGATGAGCTGTAGATCATTCTTCATCTGAATCTCTCTTGTGCTGTTGTGCATGCTGGAGGGACAGTTTAGAACAGGGGTCTCCAACCGGTCGATCGTTGCTAGGTATTATCTTGCACATGTTCAATAAAAACTGGAGGAAGGAGCGATATTTACAGTAGTTTAAACAATAAAGTTTGTGTTTATATTTTGAGATGCATGAAATACTTTGTGCATCTGGCTTTGTTTTCAATTGGACTAAATAACTATGCAGTTGTATTGCATCTTCCTCTCGGCTTTTTGATCATGTGTGAGAGCACCACCTAGTGGCGATAGATCATTCGGCGATGCATGGTTCAGTGGGAGCTCTAACTTGTGTTAGTGGTGGTGATGGGGGGTTGCCATATTAATCCTGCCTTGCTGTACCTGCAGTGAATGATGTGAATGTGAGGGGCAGAAGTGGGGCAAAAGACCCAAGGAGGATCCGACCCATTGTTCCCTACAACTCCATGTTCATTTTCAGCACCACTAACCCGTAAGTATGTGTGTTTGAGAGAAAAAGAGTGTGTATGTGTGAGAGAGAGCATTTGTGTGCATGTGTGAGAGACTGTGTAAGGGTTTGTGTGTGTGTGTGCGTGCATCTCTTTCTGTTCACCCTTTCAGTGTCTCTGGGTCTCATTCTCACACTATGTTTTTCTGTCTCTCTCTATGACTGTTGCAGACTTCGTCGGATGTGCCATTACATAGTGAACATGCGCTACTTTGAGATGTGCATCCTGCTTGTGATTGCATCGAGCAGCATTGCCTTGGCAGCAGAGGATCCCATCCACAGCGACTCCAAGAGGAATCAGGCATGTGCAGAAGGCGTGGGCACCTGGATTTAGCCCACTATCAAGTACACTCACTGATCAGGCCCAGCCAATCCAGCTCCTAGCCCCCAACTCACTGCCTACCCCAGCCCCCGACACATTGCCCACTCTAGGCCCCGACACACTGCCTACCTCAGCCCCCGACACACTGTCCACCTCAGCCCCCGACACACAGCCTACCTCAGCCCCCGATACGCCGCCCACCCCAGCCCCCCACACGCCGCCCACCCCAGCCCCCCACACGCCGCCCCCCACCCCCAGCCGCCCACCCCAGCCCCCCACACGCCGCCCACCCCAGCCCCCCACACGCCGCCCACCCCAGCCCCCCACACGCCGCCCACCCCAGCCCCCCACACCGCCCACCCCAGCCCCCCACACGCCGCCCACCCCAGCCCCCCACACGCCGCCCACCCCAGCCCCCCACACGCCGCCCACCCCAGCCCCCCACACGCCGCCCACCCCAGCCCCCCACACGCCGCCCACCCCAGCCCCCCACACGCCGCCCACCCCAGCCCCCCACACGCCGCCCACCCCAGCCCCCCACACTTTTCACGCTGTCATACCTCCCTGTAACTCCTCACGTCTAAATTATCCACCTAAAAAAAATCATTTATCATCGCACCAGCTTCTGAGCAGTGCGGAGGGAAAGGGGTGACAGAGGTGGGGGGCATTGGCGACAGTACAGGGAGAATCCCCACTATAAAAATGATTCCTTCACTGGATGCCAGCCGTCTCTAGCGAGTAACATCAAATTCCAGATCAGCATGGCCTGGCTCAGGGGTCACTTCTAGATGGTGGAGACAAGAAATGGCCAAGCATTCAGCCAGCTTGCGATCTGAGTGGCTCCTGGTCACCGTCTTACTCTCTCTCTCCCTCTCATAGATTCTGAAGTACTTTGACTATGTTTTCACTGGGGTCTTCACTTTCGAGATGGTGATAAAGGTTAGTGTGAATATGTAGCCCAGGTTCAGTATGATTACAGCTCCTGCTGCTGACTTTTTCCAAAGTTTAAACTGAGGTGGTGATTGTTACACTATCGTTCAAACTGAAGGAGATAAACCTTTGGAATACAGGCCAGTTCGTCTCACTTTGGAATAGCATTGAGTCAATTAAAAGGGGACAAATTGATAAACATTTGGAAAAGAATAAACTGTTTAGAGACAATCAGCATGGAGTGACTAATGCTGATTAATCCAATTAAATTTTATGAAGAAATTATCTAGCATAAATGATGAAAATGAAGCTTGTATATGGACATTCAAAAGGTACTGTATAAGATTATTATCAGAACCCCATCCCCAGCATAAAACAACAATTTAGTATTTATTGTTTTATCCTGGAAGTTTACCTCATGTCTGCGAATGATATTGCCCTGGAGGGAGCATCTAAATGAGGAAAAGGAGGGGCACGCCACAGATGACGATGAGGGGAGGGAGGAGAAACCGTTGGTGGAGACGAAGTGATGGTGGTTGGTTCAATGAGCCTATGGTGGAGCACAAAGGGTGAGGGACATGCAGGAGTCTAGAGCCAGCCAAGTGGAGGTGGCTGGTGGTGGAGTGGGGTGTAAACAGATCAGAGAAGTAACAGATTAGACTAGTTGCTGAGCTGAAACAATCAAAATTTTTGTTCTCCTCTTGGCAGATGATAGATTTAGGTTTGATATTCCATGAAGGATCATACTTCCGAGATTTATGGAATAATCTGGATTTCATTGTGGTGAGCGGTGCTCTCGTCGCGTTTGCATTCACGTAAGTAAATGGTAACAGTTTGAGTGTCAATTTAATCAGTATTTAATTCCATGAGAGGACCTAAACTGCGTCCTCGCTAGTGTCAGTTTGTGTCTCAGTGTGTGCGCTTGCATGTCTTTCAGTATGTGCACATGTGTTTCTTTCAATGTGTGCGTGTGCATGTGCCTGTCTGTCAGTGCGCGCACTGGAGCTTGTCCATGCGCGCACGCAGGTGCCTGTCCATGCACGCGTGCGTGCGTCTGTCTGTGTGTGTCTTCGTGGCTGTCAGTGTGTGCACTTGTGCCTATTAGTGTGTGTGTGTGCTCGTGCCTGTTAGTGTGTGTTCGCACTCGTGCCTGCCATTGTGTGGGTATGCTCATGCTTGTCAGTATGTGTGCGCTTGTGCCTGTCTGCGCGCGCGCGCTCGTGCCTGTCTGCGCGCGCCCGCGCTCGTGCCTGTCTGCGCGCGCCCGCGCTCGTGCCTGTCTGCCCGCGCTCGTGCCTGTCTGCGCGCCGCTCGTGCCTGTCAGTGTGCTTGGGACATCACTCCCCTGTGCTGGTTATGAAGGATGCCAGATGCTAGGGACATGTCTTGCTAATGCTGGTTGGTTGCTAGGGACATCCCACTGCTGGGTGAGATGTTAGAGAAGTTACTTCCATGTGCTGTTTACTGGGTAAATTAATTCCCTGTGGTGATTGCAAGGGCTCAATAAAGAGTTGAAGTGGATTGCTAAACTGGCCCTTCACTCTATGGATTTGAATGTACCTGTTTGACATAGCCACAATTTGTCCAGCACCACATTCAGCGTTACACAAGGTGATAAAATACAGCAGTTCTAGACATGTTTCCTTGCAAGAATTTCAACCGCAAAGAGTGTATGTATGTTCCAATGTAAAGAAATATACGTTGGTATGTGTCTGTTGGTAGTTCGGGGTACAGATAGTGTGGGAGGACTGTGGAGGTGAATTTTACATGGGGGCACAGACTGGGAGATACAAAATGTGCATGGGTTACAGACAGTATGTGGCGAGGTAGAGACTGTGAGGTACAGAATGTATGGAGTTACACACTACTTTGTGGGAGGAAAACCAGTCTGTGTGTGTGTATGAGGGAAGATCCAGGCTGCATTAGGGATGTTATTTCAGATACTGGTATCTGTGGACTGTTTCCTTCTTTTTCCTTCATTGTCTTCTGCTGACCTTCCAAAGGAACATTGTAGGGTAAGTGTATCCCTTTATCTGGGCTGTTGGTAGACAGCAGAGCTGATATGAGTGCTGTACAGACAGTATGAAGGGAGATTTACTCTATTCTGTGCTATATCTTGATGGGATGGTGGGCACTGAAGTTACAGCAGTGTTCCATTTCATGGGCACTTCTGTCAGTAGCTTAGTGGAATAAAATGGAGACATACTAGTGCGCTATTTGCACAGAGCAGCTAGCATGTGAAGGTTCTTGTGGAAAACATGGATGTCAAATAAATTATTCCTTGGCTGTGCATAACCTCAACATTTCCATAATCTCTGTCCCTACTCTTACTGCTCAATGCCTGTATGTAGTGTCTGTGCTCTCACTGCTTAGTGCCCGTGTGTAGTGTCTGCTCTCACTGCTCAGTGCCTGCGTGTAGTGTCTGTGCTCTCACTGCTCAGTGCCTGCGTGTAGCGTCTGTGCTCTCACTGCTCAGTGCCTGCGTGTAGTGTCTGTGCTCTCACTGCTCAGTGCCTGCGTGTAGCGTCTGTGCTCTCACTGCTCAGTGCCTGCGTGTAGCGTCTGTGCTCTCACTGCTCAGTGCCTGCGTGTAGTGTCTGTGCTCTCACTGCTCAGTGCCTGTGTGTAGCGTCTGTGCTCTCACTGCTCAGTGCCTGTGATGTAGCTTCTGTGCTCTCACTGCTCAGTGCCTGCGTGTAGTGTCTGTGCTCTCACTGCTCAGTGCCTGCGTGTAGTGTCTGTGCTCTCACTGCTCAGTGCCTGCGTGTAGTGTCTGTGCTCTCACTGCTCAGTGCCTGCGTGTAGTGTCTGTGCTCTCACTGCTCAGTGCCTGCGTGTAGTGTCTGTGCTCTCACTGCTCAGTGCCTGCGTGTAGTGTCTGTGCTCTCACTGCTCAGTGCCTGCGTGTAGCGTCTGTGCTCTCACTGCTCAGTGCCTGCGTGTAGCGTCTGTGCTCTCACTGCTCAGTGCCTGCGTGTAGTGTCTGTGCTCTCACTGCTCAGTGCCTGCGTGTAGCGTCTGTGCTCTCACTGCTCAGTGCCTGCGTGTAGTGTCTGTGCTCTCACTGCTCAGTGCCTGCGTGTAGCGTCTGTGCTCTCACTGCTCAGTGCCTGCGTGTAGTGTCTGTGCTCTCACTGCTCAGTGCCTGCGTGTAGCGTCTGTGCTCTCACTGCTCAGTGCCTGCGTGTAGCGTCTGTGCTCTCACTGCTCAGTGCCTGCGTGTAGTGTCTGTGCTCTCACTGCTCAGTGCCTGCGTGCTGTGTCCCTGCTCTCACTGCTCAGTGCCTGTGTGTAGTGTCCCTGCTCTCACTGCTCAGGGCATGTGTAGTGTCTGCTCTCACTGCTCAGTGCATATGTAGTGGCTGCTCTCGCTGCTCAGTGCATGTGTAGTGGCTGCTCTCACTGCTCAGTAACTGTGTGTAGTGTCTGCTCTCACTGCTCAGTGCATGTGTAGTGGGCTGCTCTCACTGCTTAGTGCTTGTGTGTAGTGTCTGTTCTTACTGCTCAGGGCATGTGTAGTTCTGCTCTCACTGCTCAGTGCCTGTGTATAGTGTCCCTGCTCTCACTGCTCAGTAACTGTGTGTAGTGTCCCTGCTCTCACTGCTCAGTGCCTGCGTGCCACTGTCTCCACTTCTAGGGGTACGAAGGGGAAGGATATCAATACAATCAAGTCGCTGAGGGTACTGCGAGTCCTTCGCCCACTGAAAACTATCAAGAGGCTTCCCAAGCTCAAGGTACAGAAAATGTGCATTTGTGCAGGCTGTGTATATGTATTTGCAGGCTGTGCATATGTATCTGCAGGCTGTGTATGTGTTTGTATCTGCAAGCTTGGTGTGAGTGTGTATGTGCATCTTCAGGCTGTGGTGTGTATGTGTACCTGCAGGCTGTGGTGTGTATGTGGACCTACCGGCTGTGGTGTGTATGTGGACCTGCCGGCTGTGGTGTGTATGTGGACCTGCCGGCTGTGGTGTGTATGTGGACCTGCCGGCTGTGGTGTGTATGTGGACCTGCCGGCTGTGGTGTGTATGTGGACCTGCCGGCTGTGGTGTGTATGTGGACCTGCCGGCTGTGGTGTGTATGTGGACCTGCCGGCTGTGGTGTGTATGTGGACCTGCCGGCTGTGGTGTGTATGTGGACCTGCCGGCTGTGGTGTGTATGTGGACCTGCCGGCTGTGGTGTGTATGTGGACCTGCCGGCTGTGGTGTGTATGTGGACCTGCCGGCTGTGGTGTGTATGTGGACCTGCCGGCTGTGGTGTGTATGTGGACCTGCCGGCTGTGGTGTGTATGTGGACCTGCCGGCTGTGGTGTGTTTGTGTGGACCTGCCGGCTGTGGTGTGTTTGTGTGTATCTGCAGGCTGTGGTGTGTTTGTGTGTACCTGCAGGCTGTGGTGTGTTTGTGTGTACCTGCAGGCTGTGGTGTGTTTGTGTGTATCTGCAGGCTGTGGTGTGTTTGTGTGTATCTGCAGGCTGTGGTGTGTTTGTGTGTATCTGCAGGCTGTGGTGTGTTTGTGTGTATCTGCAGGCTGTGGTGTGTTTGTGTGTACCTGCCGGCCGTGGTGTGTTTGTGTGTATCTGCAGGCTGTGGTGTGTTTGTGTGTACCTGCCGGCCGTGGTGTGTTTGTGTGTATCTTGTAGGCTGTGTTTCACTGGGCTCCTGGGTTCCTATTACAGGCGGTGTTTGATTGTGTAGTCACATCTCTGAAGAATGTCTTTAACATTCTGATTGTCTACAAACTCTTCATGTTCATCTTCGCTGTCATCGCTGTCCAGCTCTTCAAGGGCAAGTTCTTCTACTGTACTGACAGCACCAAGATCATCAAGAAAGAATGCAGGTATGTCCACTGCAACTGTCACTGCAACTGTCAGTTCCTCATCATACGCTATTCCACACCCACACCCCAGCTCCTCATCAAAAACACTGTCCCACACCCACACCCCAGCTCCTCATCATACACTGTCCCACACCCTAGCTCCCCAGCACACACTGTCCCACACCCACACCCCAGCTCCTCATCACACACTCTCATAAACGTTCCATTCTGAGTCTAGGTAGATTTGTCTCCTACATGTTAATTTACAGATCTGTCCCCATGGCGGAAGTGGAGAAATAGGATTAGTAATGATTGAAGTCAATCATATACAACAAGGGCTCATGCCATCTGGATTATGAGTGAGACTGGATAACATCAAAGGTTTACGTAGCATAGGTTAGGAATAGCCAAGGGCCCTCACTGCTTCCTTCATGTGTTGCTGAGTTTATGCTGTGTGTGCCTCAAGTGCTCTGTCTAACCTCTCTCTTTCCTCTGGTAGGGGACAGTTTGTTGTGTATGAGAGAGACAGAAAGGAGGTACGCGAACGTGAATGGAAACAATATGATTTTCATTACGACAATGTGCTCTGGGGATTGCTGACCCTGTTCACCGTTTCCACAGGAGAGGGATGGCCCCAGTAAGTACTTGGCAGAAACCTGTATGCTCTATAGAGAATAATCAGCTTGTCTGGTAGACATCAGGGTCTGGATGAGCGCAAACTTCTTGCAACTAAATGTCAACAAGACAGAAGCCATACTGTCAAGCGCTCTGGGATGCTGACCTTCGTGAAGGGTGCTATATAAATGCAAATTGTTGTTGTTGAATAGCAGTTCCTAAGTGTAATGTAGAGAATAGCGGCCCCTGATGTTAGAGAATAGCTGGCCATAAATCCATAAAGATTTATAGCACAGATGAAGGTGATTCTGCCCTTGTGTGTGTAGGCTTTTTTTAAGAGCAATTATTTCAGGCTCATTTGCCCGCCCTTTCCCCATACCTCTGCAGCTTACTACTTTTTACATATTTATTTTGTTCCCTTTTGAAATTCTGCCTCAACCGCTGCTCCCAGCAGGGCATTCCATATAATGATAATAAACCTTGCATTTGGTATAGTGCCTTATCACATTGGAAGCACTTCTCAGGATTTACTGTGAAATGGAGTGTTTGTAGGCACGGCAATGTCCCACAAACAGCTATGAAACGAGTAACCATTTTTAAAATTTGGGGTGAATTGTTGACCAGGACACCAGGAGAAACTCTTTTTTTGAATAGTAATGTGGGATCTTTAGTGTCCATCTGAACAGGCAGACGTCTCATCCAAAGAACAGCACCTCTGACAATGCAGCTAAGACCTTTGTGAATTCAAGTCCTGACGTGGGACTCAAACCCACAACCTGCTGACTCAGAGCCGAGAGTGAGCTAAGCTGCATTTCCTAACTACTCTGCGTGTGAAAATAATTCTAACCTCTGCATTTGATTAGATGTATTTGCTTGTTTTGTAGACATCCTTAATTTGATGCCCTCTAGTCAATGACCAGTGGAAACAATTTCTCCCAATTGACACTATCAAAACCTCTCATAATTTTAAAGACCTCAATCAGGTTACCCTCAACCTTCTTTGTTTCAATGGAAAAAGTCCCAGTTCCTCCAGTCTCCGCTCATTGGCCAGACCCCCCAGTTCTGATATCATCCTAGTAAATCTCTTCTGTTGCCTTATTTTATAAAGTAGTGTGATCGAAACTGGACACAACATTCTAACTGTGGTTGAACTAACAATTTATATAGGTTCACCATTAACAGTACAAAATTACATTTGTATAGCGTCTTTCATTCGGGAGGATGTCCCAGGCATTACCTCTTTGGTTTTATAACTTGCACAGCAATGTGCGAGTAACTGTCTGTCCAGTGCCTTGGGACATCCTCCCAATGTGAAAGGCGCTATACCAATGTAATTTTGTTGTTGTTATATTCTATACCCTTATTTATAAAACCTAGAATTCCATCAGTTTTTTTGACAGCTTTGTTCACCTGCCTTCCCATCTTGGTGGATTTATGTACATTAACCCCTAAGTCCCTTTGCTATTCCACTCCTTTTAATATTTTACCCCAACATATTCTTCCCCTTATTCCTCCTCCTAAAATGTATACCTCACATTTTTCTGCATTTATTTTCATTTGCCATTTTCCTGCCCAAATAGCTAATTTATGTCCATAAGAACGTAAGTTTACTGGCGAAAGAAGACCAAGGTCCATCTAGTTCACCTTCCACCATCCTGGCAGTCGCTTGACATGTCGTGTCTCAAACTATATATTGTATCTCGAGGTATTATTTCTAGCAGAAATCTATCTAATTTGTTCTTGAAACAAACAACACTTTCTGCTTCCACAGTCTCTCGAGGGAGCCTGTTCTCCAAGTTTACTACTCGCTCACTGAAGTATGTTTCTGCAGATTTGTTCTGAATTTTACCGCCCTTTAATCGCAGGCTGTGTTCTCAGGTTCTACTGTTTAGTACAAGATAAGACAGCTTATCATGGTCTACATTACCCAGTCACTTCAGAATCTTAAAGAGCGTAATCATAGCGCCCCTCAACCTTCTCTTCTCCAGCATGAACATGCCCAGCTTACCTTATCGCTACTCATAGCCCAGTTCCTCCATCGCCTCCATCATCTTGGTTGCCCTCCTTTGCATGATCTCAATCACTGCAATATCCTTTTTATTTCTAAATTAATACCAAATGCCTTAATTTTTTATGCGGCACCTTATCAACAGCTTTCTGGAAATCTATTTGTACTAAAACCCTGGCCAGACCAATGAGGGTGGGGAGATGAGGCCCAGTGAGCCGGTATTTCTGACTAAGTGTAATTACGATACACGTACCAGCATTTACCTGCATTTTCAGTGCCGGAAAATGCTGATACCAGTTAGTGAATAAGCTATCATATTTTGTCCACAAAATACACTGTTAATTCACTTTACAATATATTCTGCGAAGTGCTTTGAGACGTTCTGAAGACATGATAAGGTGTTATATTCTATACCCTTTGGAGTCCTGTAGCTCAGTGGTTAGAGCACTCGCTTTGCAAGTGAGAGACCTGAGTTCAATTCCAGGCAGAGGGCGAAACCTTGGGCAAGTTTCCTTACTCCACACAGAGCCTAATAATAATCCCTCCAAAACCCAAAACAATAATAAATTGGTCATTTTCAATCTACGACTGTTTGTGGGACATTGCTGTGCGCAATTGGCTGCCGCGTTCGCCCACAAATATACAGTCAATTCACTTTACAGTATATTCTGTGAAGCGCTTTGGGACGTCCTCCCGACGTGAAAAGCGCTATATCAAATGCAAGGATTATTATTATTATTATATTAAATGCAAGGAATATTATTATTACACTCTGTCTCTCTGTACCACTCTTGCGAAAAAAAAACTGAGTCCAAATTCTCATTAAGGATCTCTGCCAGACCTTAATTTTCTATGACTAGATTTCCCTTTTCACTTCCAATTGGCTCTACCTTTTGGTCCACCTGAACAGGTGGAGATGGTTTTAATATCTCATCCAAAGTGTGTGCCTCTGATAGTGGCACACAATGTTCCCCAGCACTGCACTGGAGTGTCAGCCTAATCTATGAGTTCAAAATCACTACATGGGCCTTGAACCTACAATCATCTGACTCAGAACGAGTGTGCCATTGCCTCAGCCGAGTTGACCTCTTCCGCTGTTTGTGGGACATTGTTGTACACAAATTGGCTGCTGTGTTTTGTCTACAAATAATCCTTACATTGGGTATAGTGGCTTTCACGTCAAGAGGATGTCTCAAATAGCTTTGCACCATATGGAGTGGAGCTTCACACCATATGGAGTGGAGCTTCACACCATATGGGGTCCACTCCACTCAAGTGAAGTGACTGAATATTTTGTTGGTGAATGTGGAGAAGCTCCTAGCTCAGTGGTTAGAGCACTCGCTTTGCAAGCGAGAGACCTGAGTTCAATTCCAGGCAGAGGGCGAAACCTTGGGCAAGTTTCCTTACTCCACACAGAGCCTAATAATAATCCCTCCAAAACCAAAAACAATAATAAATTGGTCATTTTCAATCCACGACTGTTTGTGGGATATTGCTGTGCGCAATTGGCTGCTGCGTTCGCCCACAAACAAATACAGTCAATTCACTTTACAGTATATTCTGTAAAGCGCTTTGGGACATCTAGAAGACGTGAAGAGTGCAATATCAAATGCAAGGATTATTATTCTCCTTTTGAATAGAGCCATGGGATCTTTAAAGTGCACCTGAACAGGCAGACAGGACCTCATCTTAACATCTCATCTGAAGGACAAAACCTCCAACAATGCAGTTCATCCCCCAGCATTGCACTGGAGTGTCAGCATTGATTATATCAGTTTCAGGCCTTAACGTAGTCCTCGAACCTACAAACAGAGGCAAGAGTGTTGCCATCTGAGCCAGACTAACGCATAATCACCCAAGATCGTGTCAAATATATAGTCAATACACACTGAACGCACCTGGCTTAAATCAAACTTAAATCAAATGATCCATCGGCAGATCTGGCTGGACCTTGTCAAATCATACTGTCCTCCTTCACCTCTTCTAAATCGCCGTTCTACTCCCAAGACAATCTTGGAGGCCATAGACAACCCCAGGCTCCTCTTCTCCATCACCAACCAGCTCCTCCACCTACCCTCTCACGCCTCGCCCATCCTCACCTTCAATGCCAACTGCGAGGCAATGCTGGACTTCCTTAAATCCAAAGTCGAAGGGATCCACTCAGCTGTCACTGCCTTTCTATCTACTACACCCTCCCCATCTCCCCCTCCCACCCTGGCCCCTATCCCTCCCTCCCTCTACACCTTCAAACCTGTTTCCCACTCTTCTCTCATCACCACTATAACCTGCATGAAATCGACCACCTGCGCCCTCGACCTCATGCCTACCCCTCTACCTTCCAGCTCCACCTCCTTACCCCTCTATTCACAGACATCATAAATCTCTCCCTGTCCACTGGTACTGTTCCCACCCCATTAAAAACGGCTGTCATCACTCCTATCCTTAAAAAAAGCTTCCTGGAACTATCTCTACTCTCAAATACCGTCCCATCTCCAACTCCCTTTCCTCTCCAAGGTCCTGGAACGAGTTGTTGCTTCCCAGCTTCGCTCCTTCCTCTCCCACCACTCCCTTCATGAACCCCTCCAATCGGGTTTCCGTGCCGCCCACAGCACAGAAACAGCCCTGGTCAAAGTGACAAATGACATTCTGTCCATCTGCAACCAGGATCCCTCTGCCTCCTCATCCTCCTTGACTTCTCTGCTGCCTATGACACTATTGACCACTCTATCCTCACCCACCGCCTCTTCTTACCTCAGCCTTCACGGCTCTGCCCATGACTGGTTCAGATCGTACCTTTCACACTACCCCCACTTCATCTCCACAAATGGTTTCTCCTTTCGCACCATCTCGTGTGGCGTTCCTCAGGCGTCCTTGGTCCCCTCCTCTTCAATATATGCTCCCTCATGGTGACATCATCAACAGACATGGGGTCAACGTCCACATGTATGCGGATGACATCGAACTCCACCTTTGACTCCAGGACCACTGCTGTCCTGACAGAATGTCTGTCAGACATCAAGTCCTGGATGAGAGCCAATTTTCTTCAGTTGAACGTCAACAAGACCGAGGTTCTCCTGATTGGCTCCCGTCAGCGCCTCCACACCTCAGGCGCTGACAGCATCACCATCCATGGATGCACACTTCACCTTACTAAGCCAGTCTGGAACCTTGGCGTCTTGTTTGACCCTCAACTATCCTTTCTACCCTACATCCTTACCATGATCCGCTCTGCCTTCCCCCACCACCGCAACATCGCCTGGTTCTGCCATTGTCTCACACCGCAGGCCGCAGAAACCTTCATACATCGAGGCTTGATTATTCAAACTCATTGCTTGTCAGCCTCCCCACACCTTCAAAGCTCTACCTCTGCGATCTCCTAACCCCCTCTACCATCCTGCTCACTCCCTCTGGTCAGTGGTCTCCGGCCTGCTTCATGTCCCCCACCTCTGGAACTCCATCCCACTCTGGAAGTCCCTCCGCCTTGCCCTTCCCTTGCCTCCTTCAATAACCATCTCGAGATCCTCTTCTTCGACCGTGCTTTCGATCACCCTCCTTCACCCACTTGCCCTCTACTCTCCCCGATCCCGACCCCTCAGCTCGCGTCCGAAAATCTGACTGTCCAGCGCCTTGGGATATGCTCCTGACGTGAAAGGCACTACACAAATGTAATTTTGTTGTTATTTAAAGTAAATCTGTGTGAAGTATTTTGAGACATTTTGGTGATGGCACTCTATTAAATGTGGTCACATCTTTATTAAATGCGGTCACATCTTTATTAAAATCCATTTGCATGTGCTTGCTAGGCTGGATTGTAATGCTCATGTATAAGGATGCTTTGAGGTGTGCCGATTAACGTATTCTCCATTGTCACTGTGCTAGGGTGCTGCAGCATTCGGTTGATGTGACACAGGAAGACCAAGGGCCCAGCCAGGGGAACAAGATGGAGATGTCCATTTTCTATGTGGTGTATTTTGTAGTCTTCCCTTTCTTCTTTGTTAATATCTTCGTGGCTTTGATCATCATCACGTTCCAGGAGCAGGGTGACAAGATGCTGGAGGAAAGCTGTCTGGAGAAGAATGAGGTAGAGTCCTGCTGCTGCCCTCTCCCCGTCAGCTCTCACAGCACAGCGAGAGCAAAACTTGCTGCAACGCAATTCATCTTTGCAGCCCTCAGGGGCTGCCTGTGTGTTAGGGTAGACACTGCACCCACATTATGCAGCTAGTATGCGCTGGAGTGGGTGAAGGAGGATGCTCACACAGGCAGGGTGTGGGGTATATAGACAGGTAGGGCGTGGGGTGTATAGATGAGCAGCGTGTGGGGTGTGCTGATGTTCTACTTTTCTCTGCAGAGAGCCTGTATTGACTTTGCCATCTGTGCCAAGCCACTGACTCGCTACATGCCCCAGAACAGGCAGAGCTTCCAGTACCGCGTCTGGCACTTTGTGGTGTCACCCTCCTTTGAGAACACCATCCTGGTCATGATTGCCCTCAACACTGTAGTTCTTATGATGAAGGTGAGATTCTCAGACTGACCTGTGCCCCACCCCCCCCGACCTGACTGGCCGCACCCCCCCTGACTGGCCGCCCCCACTTGACTGGCCGCCCGCACCCACCCACTGCCTGCCACCCATCACTGCCTGCCCGCCTCCCAAATTCATTGCCCGCTTTCCATAACTGCCTGCACCCCTCACCGCCCCCCTCGCTGCCCGCGCCCGCGCCCCCACCTCACTGCCCGCCCCCCCCCCCCCCGAAGCACTCCCATCTCTGCTCCCAATCTCTCTGTCCGCACCCCCCTCTGTCCACACCCACTCTGCCCGCCCCCCTGAATACAAACAACTTTCTGTCCGTATAGTTTGGGGCACATTCTGTTTTATTTCCCCTGCTATGCATCAACAACAACAACAACTTGGATTTATATAGCGTTCTCCATGCCGAACGGCATCTCAGAGCACTTCAAAGTAACGGATCCCGGAGCCGAGCCAGGGGGAGAGAGAGGAAAGTGACCAAAGGTGTGGTTGAAAAGAAAGGTCTTCATCCGAGACCTGAAAATAGGAAGAGAGGGAGTGAGGTGAAGGGAGTGAGGAAGGGAGTTCCAGAGCCTTGGGGCGTAGTGGTTGAAGGCACAGCTGCCGATGGTGTAGCGGAGGATTCGGGGAACAAGGAGGAGGCCAGACCCGGTGGAGCGAAGGCAACGGGCACTGTTGTGAGGAGAGAGGAGGTCAGAGAGGTAGGGGGGTGCAGAGGAGTGGAGGGATTTGAAGACGAGTGAGGATCTTGAAGTCGATCCTCTCTGGGACAGGCAGTCAGTGCAGTCTGGCAAGGACTGGGAAGCAGAGTTTGGTGCGGGTAAGAATGCGGGTGGCAGAGTTTTGGATGACCTGGATTTTATGAATGGTGGAGGGGAGACTGGTGAGAAGGGCATTTGAGTAGTCCAGCCGAGAGGTGACAAAGGCATGGACCAGGGTTTCAGCGGCTTTTGGAGTGAGGTATTGGCGGAGATGGGTAATGCGTCGGAGTGCAAAAAAGCGGAGCTGGTGGAGGAAGGATAATTGGGGGTCGAACCTGACACCTAGGTTGCGTACAGGTTCGGAGAGTTCATTTCTTCACACATTAAACCATCTGCCAACTATCTGACCAATCAGCAAACTCAGAAATAGTTCCCTCAAATTATTCCTGCGTTCTCAATTTGGTAATACAGTTAGAAATAACATGTTGTGCCACCCAGCACATTATTGTCTCTACCTGCTATCTAAACGCTCCAAGACATTGCCCTGCGTGAAGGGCTCTATATAAATGCAAATTGTTCTCTTATTCAGACATTCATCAGTCAGCACTGTCTGCCTCCCATTTAATATCATATTCCTTCATTTTCTCAGCCAATTACAATCTGGGCTGTTCTCTGTTCTAATTCTCTTTGCTTTATTTCAGTACAACTCGCCATCACCCACCTATGAGAGTGCTTTAAAGTACCTGAACATAGCTTTCACTATACTCTTCACCATGGAGTGCATTCTAAAGATCATCGCCTTTGGTTTTCTGGTCAGTTCAGCTTATTGCCACAGGAAAATAATTGTGCTGTGTATTATAGGCGGGTGGTGGTGGGGTGGGGGGGGAGATGCTGTGTGTCATGCGGGGGAAGTGAGGTTGTGTATCTCTGCAAATGGTTTCTCCTCCCGCCCCCGCCCGGTCACCTGCAGGGTATCCCAGGGCTCCATCCTTGGTCCTCTTCTTTTCCTTATCTATATGCTCCCTCTGAGCAATGTCATCTGCAGACACGGGATAAATTTCCACATGTATGGAGATGACACACAAATCTACTTTGCCTCCTCCAGTTCCAACTCCAGGTCCGCCGATATTCTATCAGCTTGTCTGGCAGACTCAGAGCCTGCATGAGTGCAAACATGCTGCAGCTGAATGTGGAAAAGATGGAAGCTATACTCCTTGGCTCCCATCAACGTCTTCACTCCTGTGAATCTAAACTCAACCTCCCTGAGCTCACACTCACCGAACTAGTGCACAATTTAGGCATCCATGACCCTCAGCCGTTGTTTCTCCCTCACATCCAGTCCCTGACCAGGTCCGCCTTCTAGCTCTGCCACATTGCCCGCCTCTGACCGTACCTTACCCCAAATGCAGCCGAAAACCTTTGTGCATGCTTTTGTCACCTTCCTCCTGGATAACTCAAACACATTCCTCCCCCAGCAACACTATTCAAAAGATCCAGCTCATTCAGAACTCTGCCGCCTGCATGCTTACCCAGACCAAACTCCGTACCCACATCTCATCAGTTCTGGCCAGGCTCCACTGGCTCCCCATTACCGAACCGATCGACTTCAAGATGCTCACACTTGTGTTCAAATCCCTTCACTCTCTGGCACCTCCCTACCTCTCCGACCTTTGCACTCCACAATCCACCACCCAGCTCCTCTGCTCAACTGGCACTGGCCTCCTGCTCGTCCCTCGCACCCTCTGCCCCACCATCGGAGGTCGCGCTTTCAGCCACTACACCCCGAAACTCTGGAACACTCTCCCTCAATCCTTCTGCCTTGCCCCCTCCCCCTTTTCAAGTCCTGCCTTACTCATTGAGGCTGGGTGTCGGGGGGGGTGAGGCTGGGTGTCGGGGGGGTGAGGCTGGGTGTCGGGGGGGGGTGAGGCTGGGTGTCGGGGGGGTGAGGCTGGGTGTCGGGGGGGGTGAGGCTGGGTGTGGGGGGGGGTGAGGCTGGGTGTCGGGGGGTGAGGCTGGGTGTCGGGGGGTGAGGCTATGTGTCGGGGGGGGGGTTGGTGGGCTGTGTGTGGGGGTGGGGATTGAGGTTGTGCATCTAGGGGGTGGATGGGGGTTGGGGATGGCGGTTGAGGCTTTGTGTCGGTGGGGAGAGTCTGGCTGTTTGTCAGATTGACCTGTTTATGCATTTATTTTACAATCTTATTCTACAATATTTCTGCTCAAAACCAGTCGGCTCATGTGCGTGCTGATTTTTTTCTTCACATGGGACTCAGTATTATTACACTTGCCACTCGTTCTAATATTGTTTCTCTTCAATCAACTGATTTTCTTTTAAAGAATTTGTGAACTCACGTCCAACCCCAATTTGTCGTTGGGAATTCCACTCTCCCACTGCCCTCTGTGTAAAGAAATGTTTTCTATCTCCCCTTTCACTCCATCTTTGGATGACTCAATAAACTGAGGGTCCATCTGTGTCTGTTCATGTGGGTGTTAATGATCCTGTGACGCTATTGAAAAAGAGGAATTTCTCCTGGTATCCTAGCCAGCAATCCCCAGATAGGTTGGTCATTCATCTCACTCGTTGTACTTCCATTAACTGTTCTGAACCCACCCTGTTCCTCAGCTCAATCCAAAGCACTTTTGTCTGGAACATTTATTTGCTGAAATCCTTGCACTGTAAAGCTGATATGCTGATTTGTTGTATTTCTCCTCACAGAATTATTTCCGTGACTCCTGGAATGTTTTTGATTTTGTGACTGTGGTGGGCAGCGTGACTGAGATCATCGTCACTGAGTGTAATGTATGTTCATCCTAACTCCCCAACTCTTTGCTCTGCTTTTGATGCTCTCAATACACACACAATGGACAAGGCACAAACACAACTCATAGAGCACACTTAAGGTATGCATAATGCATAGTGTGCACAGCAGGCCTGAAGTGAACATACACACAATATCTTGCATTTATATAGTTTATACAGTAGCATAAGTGTGGTAATGTCTCATAGTGCTTAACAACGGCAGAACTTGATGCCAAGCTGGGAAGAGAGGGCACTGTCAAAAAGGAAGATCTTCAGGAGTGATCTGAAGATGGGTAAGGAGTGAACAAGGCAGAGGGATTGAGGCAGACAGTTCAAGTTTTGGGGAATAGTGGCTGAAAGTCAAAGAGGATCATCTTGAGGTGAACCTTGAAAGAGGCAAGAGAAGGGGTGTGGTGGAGGGGCTCCAGGATGGAGTTTCGGAGGGTGGGGGCAGAAAGGTTGAAGGTCTGTCTGCTGATGGTGGGGTGGGCAGGGCAGAGTTGCCTGCGAGTGGAGGGAATGGGTGGGTTTGTAGGGTTCTGGAAGGGTTATTGTCTATTTTAGATAAAAGAAGTTCATGACCTCATCGCATTTGGTGTTTGAGGTGAGGATGGAGGGTGTTTGATCGGGTGTATGGAAGAAGTGATGTGTTGTGGAAAACAGGAGCTTGCATGTACAGCTTGAATCTAGGGATTCAGATTTAGGGTTAGGGTTAGAATTCTAAAAGTAGCAGCACACATGGACAAAGCCATATAAAATCTAAATAGAGTCCTTAGCTTTATGTTCAGGGGCAAAGTAGGCAAGTAATATTACATGTATATGAATCTCGGATAGACCACAATTGGAGTATTGTGTACAGTTCTGGGTGATGACCGAGCCTTCAGCTCCCCTCTCGACTCTCTTCCCCCTTCTCGCTCCCTCCCATCCCTCCCCTCACCCTGACCATTTCCCCCCTCTTCGCTCCCTCCCCTCACCCTGACCATTTCCCCCCAATGCTCGGGTCATGACCCAACTGTGCAGCGCCTTGGGACGTCCTCCTGACGTGAAAGGCGCTTTATAAATGGAATCTTGTTGTTGTTGTTGTTGATGCATTGTGAAGAATATTGTAACATTAGAGAAAGTGCAGTTAAACAAAGATATTACCAGGGAGGAGTGGATACAGCTATCAGGAAAGATTGGACAGGTTACAGCCTTTCTCTATGAGTTGAGACGATTGAGAGGCCACCTAATAAAGGAATTTAAGGTTATGAAATGATTATATAAGGTAGATAGTTGATGGGCTGTTTCAACTTGTTGGTGAGTCCATAACTGGAGGGGTTAAGCCAGTAATAGATCTAATAGGGGGTTTAGGTGGAACTTCTTCATGGAGAGGGTGGTGAGAATGTGGAGCTCACTGATAGAAACTGTGTTGAAGCAATAAGTATTTAAGGGGAAACTTGTAAGGGAGATAAGAGTAGAGGGGTATAGATGAGGGCTTTGTGTGGAGTATAAACATTGGTACAGACTAATTGAGGTGAATGGCCTGTTTCAGTGCCACATCACTCTATGCATCTCTACCAGGCAGCTCATGCTCCTAGATGGCCAACTCCAGTTGGCCATCTAGGTTTCTGACACATGTGGACACCCATCATTGTGCTTTACAGTATCCAAACCAACCGAGAGTTCCATGCCCCACTTCCACATGGAAATTCCAGTTTATTGGAATGGAATATGGATACTCTTTCCCCTGGAATCCTGCTTACCTAATTCTGGAAAATATTAGGCGCAGGTTGGCAAGAGCCAAGGCTTGGGGACCCCAGAATGTGTGTTAGGGTTACTTCTGGAGTCTAACCAGGTAAAACATAGACATTGCTGTCTGGCAAGCTTTCTGGTTACTTGTCCAGCTAGGACCACCCTACCCATTAGGGCTTTGGCTTGCAACAACAACAACAACAAGATTCCATTTATAGAGCGCCTTTCACGTCAGGAGGACGTCCCAAGGCGCTGTACAGTTGGGTCAGGAGCTGAGCGGGAGGATTCCCTGCCCCCAGTGACTGGTCTGCCCTTCCAAGACCTAGCTCTACTTCTTCACATATTCTCTCACTTGGACTGTAGGCTAAGCAGGAGCAGTGGATGAGAGCACTGACCTAAAGTACTGAGCAACACTGGTGATGGCTTTGTTTGAATCTCTCCGTAGTTAAAGTTTGTGAACCTGAGCTTCTTGAAGCTGTTCCGTGCCGCACGACTCATCAAACTTCTGCGACAAGGCTACACAATCCGAATTTTGCTCTGGACTTTCGTGCAATCCTTCAAGGTATGGGCAACTCTGGAAACTGCCATTGACTTCACAAATAAAACATAATACTAGTATTTATGACCCTTATATTTCCTCAAGGTTACAGAGACTAGTTGTGACGAATCTTGTAATGCCCCATTTCAGGCAGCTAGTCTCAGTATCCAACACTGCCTGCTCAGCTCCAGCACAGATTAGAGTCAGAGTAAAGCTCCCACTACGCTATCCGTCCACACTCCCAGGTCAGGATAGAGACAGAGTAAAGCTGTCCGTCCACACTCCCAGATCAGTGTTAGAGAAAGAACAAAGCTCTCTCCACACAGTCCATATCAGCTTCAGCACAAGTTAGAGACAGAGTAATTTTCTCCTTTGTCTTCCTTGCCCTGCCTCTCCCCTCTCTATTAGTCCTTAAAAGCCTCTCCCTCCCAATATGCCCAGTTCTGATGAAGGGTCGTGGACCCGAAACGTTGACTCACTTTCCTTTCTCCATAGATGCTGCCTGACCTGCTGAGTGTTCCCAGCGACTTCTATTTTTGTCTCAGATTTCCAGCATCTGCAGTATTTTGCGTTTTGTTTTAATACAGAGTAAGGTTCCCTTTACACTGTCCGTCCACACTCCCTGCTTATCTGCAACATAGATTAGACACAAAGCATAAATATATTTCTTGGGAATGAAGTTCCACATCCATATAGACCCTGATAAACACCGGGTTAAAGGTTATGATGTTTTAACTATCCATTGAATTACATTTTGGAGAAATTAGACTGTATGTATTTCATGCTTTTACAAAAGTCTTAAAATTCACTGATAGATTGATGGAGTATATCTGTCTGTCCCACATCCCCCTGATCTCTAAGATAATGGAGTTTGGAGACTATTGCACTGCTATATGTTTCTTTAACACTTTGTTGACTGATGTACTTCTAATCTGCTCTTCAGGCCCTTCCTTACGTCTGCCTCCTGATTGCCATGCTCTTCTTCATATATGCAATAATTGGCATGCAGGTAAGCCCTACTGCATTCTCTAATGCCACATGTCTGAGTACTCTCACCTCTGAGTCAGAATGTTGTGGGTTGAAGGTTGCAACAAATAGCGCCTTTCATGTCAGGAGGACCATCTCCACCACCACCTCCTTCCCTGCTCCCCTCCTCCAGTTGTGAGGAGGTGATGGACTTGGCACCAAAATCAGGTGGATACTCTTTGCGAATTTGTCTCCGTCAGTCCTCCATTACTCCGCCTCAGGCCTCTATTCAACCCTCTTTCCTATCTCCTCTCACCTCCCATAGAAAACCTACCACCTGCTGTCTTGATTCTAGCCCCATCCTGTGGCCACCTAACTTCCCCTCCTCTGACATCATCAACCTCTTCCTCTCCACTGATGCCTGCAGTACCCCCCTTTCAAACTGCCCCCATCCGGCCCCACCCAAGAAACCTTCCCTTGAGTGAATGCAGTTATTGAGACGATCGAACAAGTTATAGCTTTTCTCTTTCGAGTTGAGACGATTGAGAGGGAACACGATAGAGGAGTTAAAATTAGAGATTCAATAAGATGGATGTTGAATTGCTGTTCCGTTTGCTGTTCACTTCAAAGCTAGAGGGCATTAATATAAGATCTGATAGGAGAAATATCTTTATGCAGAGTGTGAAAAGGTGTAATATGCAAGGATTATTATAATCTCTATGACCTCTGTCAGGTCACCTTCTCAACTCAGCGAAAAAGGTCTTTCCTCATAACTGATGCTTCTCGGATCTGGTAACATTCCAGAAAACTGCTGAAACTCCTACAAGGCTATCTTTTCTGTACAGAGGGAAATGATGCATCTTATCACAGTGGGCAAAGTCCAGGATAATTACATTGTGGGAAAGCTTCTGCACCATGTTTGCAGTTTGTCTGCAATGTGGAAAGAAAGTGTGTGGGTGGCTGATAAACTGTATGTCTCTCTGCACCAGGTGTTTGGAAACATTGGCCAGGACGACAGCACCCCCATCAACCGGCACAACAATTTCCAGACCTTCTTCAACGCATTAATGCTACTTTTCAGGTGAGTGACACTGAGCACCAGCACCTCAGCAAGATACAGCCTGCAATGCCCATCAATTGCACAGCAGCGCCCATCATACAGCGCTGACCCTACTCTCCATTTTGAGTCTGAACTCTCCAGTAATAATTGTAGTGCATTTTGAGACGCTGATTCTACATCAAGTTTCCCCTCCTTGCTAGCTGACATCATCGACCTCTCCCACTCCACTGTGGGAGGTGCTGGCTTGTTAACTACTGTGTGCTTGGTACCAGGAGTGCAACAGGCGAGTCTTGGCAGGAGATCATGCTGGCATGTCTGAGCCACAAGTTGTGTGAGGGGACCCGCGAGGCTGCCTGTGGCACCGACTTTGCTTACTTCTACTTTGTGTCCTTCATCTTTCTCTGCTCCTTCCTGGTAAGTGATGTATCTAGGCACCCAATCCACATCCACCCACTCCAGGCACCCCCACCCACCCCCACTCCAGGCACTCCCACACCCCCTCAATCCCACCCCCACACCCCCACTCCAGGCACCCCAACATTACTCCCATTCCAGACACCCCCAAACACCCTCAACCCCACTCCCACTCCACCAACCCCCGCCCCAGGCATCCCCGCCCCAGGCAGCCCCATCCCAGGATCCGCACCCACTCTCACTCCAGGCGCCTAACCCACCCCCACCATTTGACCACGAACTCTGCAACAATCTTCTCCGTTCATTTCCATTGTAATATGAGCACTCTCTCTCCTAAGATGCTGAACCTGTTTGTGGCTGTCATCATGGATAACTTTGAGTATCTGACACGAGATTCATCCATTCTGGGCCCACATCACCTGGAGGAGTTTGTGCGTGTCTGGGCAGAGTACGACCGCGCTGCCTGGTATGTATCATACACCTAGCAAAGCGCAGCATGTTACTGGCCAGACACAGACAGCTGCCACTCCAGGGGGGGCACCATCCCACACTACAGGGAGATTCCACCCACCCACTCCAGGAAGACACTGCCCACCCACCATCTTAGGGAGACACCTGCCACCCAAGGAGACCCCCCCCCCCACACACACTCCAGGGAGACCCCACAACCCCCCCCACTCCAGGGAGACCCCCTTCCTACACTCCAGGGAGACCCCCTTCCTACACTCCAGGGAGACCCCCTCCACTCACTCCAGGGAGACCCCCTCCACTCACTCCAGGGAGAACTCCCTCCCCCCCCCACTACAGGGGAGACCCCCCCACCCACTCTTACTACAGTGGAGAAACACCTCCACTACAGAGAGCCTCCCCCTGCTACAAGGGAGCCCCCCACCCCCACTCCAGGGTGACCCCCACATCACCCCATGAAAATCTCCTCCCTCTACCCAGGGAAACACCCCCCAGGGAGACCCCCCCCCACTACAGTGGAGACACCCACCCCCCCACCCCACATCAATGGAGACACCCCTCACCACCACTACAGGGGAGACTAAACACTCCTTCTCCCTGAGTGTACCTCACTCTCTCACTCCCTGAGTGTACCTCACTCCCTCCCTCTTGACTGTTTGTCCCTCTCTCCCCAATGAACATTCCTCTCTCTCTCTCCCTCCCTGTGTGTATGTCCCTCCCTCCCTCCGAGTGTACTCAATCCCTAAGTGCCTTTCTCCTCAGGCGCTGACAGCATCGGCCACTTCATGGAGTCAGTACGGAACCTCGTTATCTTGTTTCACTCTCGAATGTCCTTGAAACCTCACATTCATGCTCTGATCTACTCAGCTTCCCTCCACCTCCGTAACATTCCCCACCTCCACCACCATCTCCCCTCGGGCTGCGAGATTTTTATCCATACTTTTATCACGGACAGATTTGACTTCCCTACGCAAGATTATCCAGAACTCTGCAGCCTGTGTCCTATTCCACAGTAGGCTCCGCGAACCTATCACCCCCATTCCCCAGTGGATTGAGATCCTCATCGACAAATCTCTCCATCGTTTTGCCATCCCTACCTCTGCAACTTTGCTCAGGCTGTACCGGCCTGCCTCGTTCCCCCACCTTGCCCACCTCACTGTCGGCCATCAGGCTTTCAGGAAGAACTTGAGATGGACAGTGTGAATGTGTCACTCAGGGGAGGGGGTCGTTAATGGGTTACTGGGTGGGGGGTGGGGGTGGGTGGGATGACTGTTTTACTTGAGGTAAGTGTGTTACTCAGGTGGGTGAGTGTGTTAACTGGCGTGGGTGGGTGTTATTTTGGAAAGTTGGGTATGTTACTTGGCGGGGCAGGCTCAAGGGGACGAATGGCCTACTCCTGCTCCTATTATGTTCTTACTTGGGGGGCTGAGTGTGTTACTTGGGGGGCTGAGTGTGTTACTTGGGGGGCTGAGTGTGTTACTTGGGGGGCTGAGTGTGTTACTTGGGGGGCTGAGTGTGTTACTTGGGGGGCTGAGTGTGTTACTTGGGGGGGTTAATGTGTTATTTGGGGGTGGTGAGTGTATTACTTGGGGGGTGAGTGTATTACTTAGGAGTGGGGTGAGCGTGGAAACGAGTTTGGGTTGATAGTATAATGAGTTGTGAGGTCCAGGAGCCAGCAAGAACAAAAAACACATTGTTATTTCTTTTATTTTGTATTTTTGTCTGTCTGACCACTAACCATAGTTTTTTGGAGATTGTGTTTAATAATAAGCTCTATTCACAGTATCCAGACTCTCTCACCCTCCTGCCTGATCTCCTTAAGAACCCCAATGCCAGTGGGTTGACCATGGCCTTCTGATCCTCTGCTTCTTGGCCCTGTGCATGTTTTGGCTGCTACACATAACACCAGTTGTCCAACAGCAGCCGCCCTGACTGCCCCACTCCCCCATTTCCAATGCAAGGCCCAGCTCCCGAGAGTGAACCTATCCTCTCAATTCTCTTCCTCCTCCTCTTCCGCCCATTCTACAAACTCCCTTGATGCCTGTCCCCTCCGCAGCGAATGGGTGGGGGCTCATGTGGAGTATAAACACAGGCCTGTCTCCGTGTTTTACATTCTGTGTAAATCTATGTATGATTTGTGGAGTTGTCAGTGCATCACTCGGTGGGGAGGGGGAGAGTGTGTTACTTGGGATGGGTGGGGGGGAGTGTGTTACTTGGGGAAGGAGGAATGTGTTACTCAGGGTGGGGAGTGTGTTACTTGGGGGTGTGGGGGGGGGAAGAGAGTGTTATTCAGTGGAGGTGGAGTTACTCCGTTGGGGGAGTTTGTTACTCGGTTACTTGGGGTGGGGGGAGGGTGTGTAACTCGGGGGTGGGGGAGGGGGTGTTACTCGTGGGGGCAGAGTCTATTACTCGGCGGTGGGGAGAGAGTGTGTTACTCGGTGGGGGTGTTACGGGGGAGGGAGTGTGTTACTCAAGGGGGTTGGAGGGGAGTGTGTTACTCGGGGAGGGAGCGTGTTGCTCGGGAGAGGGTGCTACTCAGGGGAGGGTGTTACTCGGTGGTGGAGGAACAAGCATTCTTTTGGGAGTGCTGGACAGATGTGTTGAATCTGCTTCACGCTGGAGTGCAGTGAGTGTAAATAAATGTTGTGATATCTTCAACGGAATCTGGATAGCACCTATATTTATAGTGGGAGCAGGCTGGAGCAGCAAAATCAGTCTGTGTAAGGGGTTCTTCCCATCTTCAACATGTTACTTGAGATAATGTTCTCTCCTGATGTGCCTCGTCCTTTGTGCCTGGTGCATGTCATTCGTCCTCCCTCCTTCCCCTCCCTCTTTTCCACCCTCTTGTACACCTGTTGTAATGGGCACTGCACTGTAGGTGACAGTTATACTGCACCCAGGACCAGGCAAGGAGCCCTCTCAGTCTCTCCCCACAGTCCCAAGACCTCTCTGCAGTCACAGGTTGGTGGATACAACTGTGAGGTGAAATCTTTATGTTGTGATGAGTGTTATTAACTCTCCTGTTCTGTTTCCCCTCTTCTATCACTCGGATGTGCTTCCTTACCCCTCCCTCCATTCTCTACAAAGTGGTCGAATCCATTACACTGACATGTATGAAATGCTGACTCTCATGTCACCACCACTGGGCTTGGGGAAGAAATGTCCTCCGAAAGTTGCATACAAGGTAGAGATGCAGCGCACATGGAGTGGCTGCATGCTGTGGACAGGAGGTCTGTTGCTGACTATATATAGCAATGTTCTGAAAATATAGTGATTCCTGAAAATATAGCAAAGTCCCGAAAAATTAAAGGTACAATTTCTGTAATCAGTCGGCCAACAATTATGATGCCATTCAGGTAACTAACTGCCAGAAAACTTTTGTTCCTTCAAATCCAAATGCCATGACCTCCTGTTCACTCCTGCTTAGGATTGCAGTGTCCACGTCTCACTTTACTGTGGGCTGTGTTACACTGTGTTGGGGTGACTGTATGTGGGATGTGTTCTAGTGTGTTGGGGGTCTCACTCTGTGCTGTGGGCTGTGTTATACTGTGTTGGGGTGACTGTACTGTGGGCTGTGTTAGTTTGTTGGGGTCTCACTGTACTGTGGGCTGTCACACTGTTGGGGTGACTGTGCTGTGGCCTGTGTTACAGTGTGTTGGGGTCTCACTCTGTACTGTGGGCTGTTTTACACTGTGTTGGGGTGACTGTGCTGTGGGCTGTGTTACAGTGTGTTGGAGTCTCACTCTGTGCTGTGGGCTGTGTTAGTTTGTTGGGGTCTCACTGCACTATGGGCTTTGTTACGTGTGTTGGGGTGACTCCTGTGGGCTGTGTTACGTGTGTTGGGGTGACTCCTGTGGGCTGTGTTACGTGTGTTGGGGTGACTCCTGTGGGCTGCTTTCGACAGTGTTGGTGTCTCACTCTGCTGTGGGCTGATTTAGTGTTCTGAGGTGTCTGTGCTGTCCGGGTCTCTCTCTCTGCTATGGGGCTGTTTGTAACTTTATTTGTGTGGCCAGTGAAGAGGGATCTTTAATAATAATCCTTGCGTTTGATATAGTGCCTTATCACGTCTTCGAGACGTCTCAAAGTGCTTCATAGAATATATGGTAAAGTGAATTAACTATATATTTTGAGGGCGATACACGGCAGCCAATTACACACAGCAGTGTCCCACAAACAATCCTAGATTGAGTAACCAATTTATTATTATTTTTTGAAGGAATTATTACCCCGGAAAAACGATCCGCCAATCGACCAACAACCAGGTTCCTATTTACTGCTAGGTAAACAGGCGTGTGGAGTAAGGAATCTTGTCCAATGTTTCGCCCTGCCAGGAATCAAACCCAGGTCTCTCACTTGCGAGGCGAGTGCTCTAACCACAGAGCTATAGGTCTCCACTCTATATACTCCACTTTACTATGTGTATAACCCTTGCTTTAATCTACCTGGGAATGCTGGACAGTGTACAGGGAGCTTTACTTTGTCTCTAACCTGTATTGTAGCTGACACAGAGACATATAATATTTGGCACTGAAGGAGGCTCTTCGTGTATGTACCACTGGATCTATAACTTGTAATTTGATCCTTTCAATAATCTCACTTCCAGCTCGTTCCCCGTATTGCTCATTCTTTGAGAGGTGAAGCACCTCAATAGTAATGCTGGTGGCAAGGATTTGAGCCCAATTCAGTGTAGGTGTGAGGTGGGTATGGTACAGGGGTGAGGTGGACATGGTGCAAATGTCATGTTTGTTTTTCTCCTTCAGAGATTGGTGCTGATGAACATGCCGGTAGCTGAGGATAAAACCGTTCACTTCACTTCCACACTTATGGCATTAATCAGAACCGCTCTTGAAATCAAAATAGGGAAAGGTATGTACCCTGAATATACACCTGGGCAAAACAAGTATCCTTTTTTCATTTTTCAGCCGGGTGTCTGACACATCCGGAAACCCATCAATATGCTTAAGAGTATCCAAACCAAGCTAAGAATTCCATGCATCCCACCTATACATGGCAATCCCAGAGATAGATTATTGGAATGGAATTTGCCTGGAATTTGCCTTTCTACCTGGAAGGACACATCATGCTTACTTAATTCCGGAAAGTATTAGGCGCAGATTGGCAAAAGCCAAGTCTGGGGACCCCAGAGTGTGCTTTGGGGTAACTGTTGTAGCCTAACCAGCTAAAAATGCATGGTTAACTCCAACAGTATCCTGGTAAATGACGGTTAACCTGCAGTCATACTTCTTCATAATTTCTTGTGCACGCTATCACTGACAGTGACTGATTTCCTGTGTATATTCTCACTGACAGGCGGTGCAGACAAACAGCTTCTGGACACTGAGTTGAGGAGTGAGATTATGACAATCTGGCCACATCTTTCCCAGAAAACACTTGATGTTGTTGTTCCACCACATAAATGTAAGTTGCGGGGTTCAGATTAGCATCTGTTCAATGCCAAGGCAGGGTCTGTGGTTAGAGATATGATATGAGAATTAATTGAAAGATAATCTGACAATTTTGGATCCTCTGGAAACAGATTAACAGGGTTGGGAAAGACTATTACAGTTCATTGGTTTTGAACATGGAACTTTGAGCTATCAGGAGAAAAAGATCAGCTCAGACTGAAAACGTAAAACTGCAGATGCTCAAAATCTGAAATAAAAACAGAAGTTGCTGGGAGCACTCAGCAAGTCAGGCAGCATCTATGGAGAGAGGAAAGTGGGTGAACGTTTCAGGTTGATTACCTTATGTTGGACAATGACTTTTCTGTTTTTATATCATCTTAGACTAGCCAGGCCACATGGCCTGTTTCTTTAATGGAACAATGTTATGATATCCTCCTGATAGTTGCTCTGTACTCTACTCCAAGTCACCATATGCAAGAACCGTGTGATATGGTTCACAGCTAGGGTTGTGCAGGTTGTTTTGGTCAGCCAGATGTCTGAAACATGCAGAACCCCATCACCATGTGTCTCTGGAGTAGGGGAGGGTGTTTGTAGGGTCAGTCCCTGTGTGACGGGTTGTGTCTCCACTGCAGCGTCAGAACTGACAGTTGGGAAGATTTATGCGGCGATGATGATTATGGATTATTACAAACAGAGCAAGAGCCAGAAACACAAGAGTCAACAGGAGGAGCAGGTACTACAGACTGCGTCAATGTGTGCACCTTGCATGTCTGTGTGTCCCCTGCAGGGTCTGTGTGTGTGTTGCCCCCTGGGTGTGTGTGCCCAGTGTACGGAGCCTTTCTGTTTTGAACAGGAAACCAGGCTGACATCATGTATGTTTGTTACAGAGCCGCACACCGATGTTTCAGCGGATGGAAGCTTCATCCCTGCCTGAGGAAATCCGTTCCAGTGCCCAGGCTGTGCTGTTTGTCCCAGAAACTGGTAGTGATGGGTAAGCTGTGCAAGAGAGGAAGGTCACTTAGTACAAACCAGTGGCGGTTGTACCTCTTCACTCCATTCCACAGCTGCTCCTGAGTGTTATTCTATAGTCATTCTCTGCTCCCGGTGTTTCACACCCTGACAGGTCTGCTCCTAGTGTATCACACCCTGACACGTCTGTTCCCGTTGTGTCACACCCTAATACATCTGCTCCCGGTGTGTCACTCCCTAACACGTCTGCTCCCGGTGTGTCACACCCTGACAGGTCTGCTCCTAGTGTATCACACCCTGACACGTCTGTTCCCGTTGTGTCACACCCTAATACATCTGCTCCCGGTGTGTCACTCCCTAACACGTCTGCTCCCGGTGTGTCACATCCTGACACGTCTGCTCCTGGTGTGTCACATCCTGACACGTCTGCTCCCGGTGTGTCACACCCTGACATGTCTGCTCCCGGTGTGTCACACCCTGACACGTCTCTCCCTTTGTGTCACACTCTGGCACCCTGCTTTCCAGTTTCCTCAGTGTTCTTAGTGAGAGGGTGGGTCTGGTGGGAAAGGATGGTGCGTTGAGCTGCTTTAATTCTCTACTCTTCACAGAGAGAGTCGCAGTGAGTTTGCCCCCTTAGTACCACTGCCATCACCACTGATGGGTGAATATCAGTCACACGTGGGTCACGGAAGAGGAGGCACCAAGGAATTACACATCTATCAGCCTCAGGTACTGAGCACAAATACTATAAACACAGACTCTACACAATTCCAGAACATAGACTGTGCCCACACATACAGCACGCAGTCTGCGCCCACACGTACAGCAGGCAGACTGTGCCCACACGTACAGCAGGCAGACTGTGCCCACACATACAGCAGGCAGACTGTGCCCACACATACAGCAGGCAGTCTGTGCCCACACATACAGCAGGCAGACTGTGCCCACACATACAGCAGGCAGACTGGGCTCACTTGCATTATTATTTTGCCAATTTGTGTTTTCTTTTTGTAAAATAGGGATTAGAAACTTTAAAAGTGAATTATCCTCACAGTGTTCATTACCTACCTATTGAGAGCCAGGGAAGAGCAGTCTCCATGCCTCGACTTGAAATGGATTCTGAGGTGAGTAAATGGCTTATGCTTTGTCTCCAACCAATGATCCTCACTAAACCCAGCTCTTTCCCCATCGTGTCTGTTCTGGTGTTAATATTCTCTGTGTCTGAAATGCACACTTTCCAGGAAGACATATCTGTTTCTAATTCGTGAGAACTTCTTTGGCCCAGGTTGACAATAGCCAAAGTTTGGGGACCCCAGATTGTGCATTGGGATAACTGCTGGAGTCTAACCAGCTAAAACCACCATTGATATTGCTGTCTGGCAAGCTTTCCTTTTGCTTTTCCAGCTGGGACAACTCAACCTGTTAGGGCTTTGGCTTGCAGGGTTAACAGGAGCTGAGGGGCAGAATCTCTTACTCCAACAACAACAACTTGCATTTATACAGCGCCTTTCACTTTGGGAATATGTCCCAAAGCACTCAATCTGCCCCTCTCAAGTTCAAGCAGTGCTGTGAGGGAAGAGGGAAAGAAGGCCGAGGCAGGGAGGGGTTTTACATATCGAGGTCTGTGTACTTCACTGGACTTTCTTTCTTACTCGCTGACAGTCAGCAGATGACCGTAGCCCGATGAGGCGATCTTTCTCCACCCTGGCTGACCAACGATTGGACGGCCAGTGTCTTCACCAGTACACGCTGGATCGAGCCGGCCCCGAGCCTGGCAACAAGAGGCAGCATCGGAGCCACAGAACCGGGCACTCAGACAACCGCTCAGCAAATACAGGTAACATTGCCCTTTTAGCAGCTAACCATTGTTACAGTTTTAGGTTGTGATGGACACCTTAGGAAACTAGGAACTGATAGGCAAAAAAAGACCAAGGTCCGTCTAGTTAGCCTTCTACTATCCTGGTAGTCGTGTGCTCCAATAATGGAGTCCTTCTCGCAGCCCTCCTCATCTCCTTTGACCTAACCTTCTAGATAAACTCCCCCATCCACAACCAATGCCATCCCTTTGATCCCGTCATTACCCATGGCCTTAACATTGTGAGCTCTCCATCATGGACGACACCATCTTGGACCATTTCCTCATCTCCCTCTGTTCTCGCATCCCTTTCCCTCTACCATATCTTCCACGGTCTTTTTCGAACTCTGGAAAAAGCTTTCCCTTTAGTCCCTCACTAATGCTCTCTCATCTTTAGACCTTGTTTCCCTCCTCCTGCGTTGATCTTCAAGCTGTTAAACGTCCATCTCAACTCCACTTTCAATTCACTTGCTCCCCCCTGATATTGAAAACTATCTTGCATTACCCTGGTACAACAATCACCTCTACTCCCTTAAATCCAAGTCCTGTGTGCTTGAGCTCAGTTGGCACAAAACTAGCCTCACTGTTCACTGCCAGATTTGACTTGAACATTTCCAAACTTATCGCCTCTCCCTCAAAAAAGTCCAAACCAAGTTCTATTCCAATGCTATTCTCGAGGCCAAAAAATGATCCCTGAACGTAGCACTCCAGCTGCATCCCAACCAATAATGAGTACATACTTGACATTATTGCTTTCCTGGTGTACTCTGTATAAAACCAACAATACCATTAGCTTTCTTTATAACCTTTGTCACCTGCGATGCCACTTTCAATGACTTATGTACCTGCACTCCTGACTACCTTTGCTCCTCGGTTCCTTGCAAAATAATGCCATTCAATATATACTTCCCTTGTTTTTTCTCCACCAAAATAAATCACTTCACATTTCGCTGCCACTGATCTGCCCGTTTCACGAATCTGGTTAAATCCTCCTGCAAGTTCCTGCCAACCTCATCATTATATTTCCCAGCTTGGTATCTCTATTTCTCCCCATGCGGGCTCTCTCTCTCACCCTTTTCACTCTCGCTTTCTCTCTTCCCATTCTGTGCACTCTCTTACACACCCCTACTCTCTCTCGCTCCTCACCCCCACCCTGCGCGCTCTCTCTCCTTGTACCTGCGTGAGCTCAAAGTGCAGGTATGAGGCTTGAACCCACAATCTTCTGACTCATTAGCAACAAGGCGTAATTTTAAGTAGATTGTGGAAATTTACTCTGTTTCTAACTCGTGTTGTACTAATCTGGGAGTGTGGACGGACAATATAGAGGGAGCTTTACTCTTTATCTAAGAAATCTCTGATAAACAGTTTCTGGTGTGTCTGCTCCATCATACAGGGCTGAGGACATCTCTGCACCTCTCTGGGGAGATCCCGTATGCAGACCGTGAGAGAGGTCGATCCAAGGAGAGGAAGCACCTGCTGTCACCAGAGAGAGTAGTGAGCACCGTACAGCAACGCCCACACTACCCATTGTCCCGCAGCCGCCGCATCTCTCGCTCTCCCAGCGAAGGCCGCACACAAGTACGTCACATACCTTCTGCTGGTACGGTGTCTGGTGAGAGGTTTTAGGATAAACAATAGTAGCTCTTGTTCTCAGATTAACAATAGGAAATACCAATATAAGTGAGTCTTGAGACATTGACTGCTCCTGATGTTGATGTTTCCTCTTGTTAGAGAATCCCAATATTTGAGGGCATCAATATAAGAACTGATAAGGATGTGGAACTCCCTGCTGGAAACTGTGTTGAAGCAAAAGGCAACAACATATTTAAGAGGAAAATGAAGATGAAGTGAAACGGGGATATAGGAGAGGGGAATAGAAGTTAATGTTGCATCATTCCACTCAGCTCCTGTTAACCTTGCAAGCCAAATTTCTAATGGGTAGGGTGACCGTAGCTGGACAAGCAGCGGGAAAGCTTGCCAAACAGTAATATCAATGGCAAGTTATGTGGTTTTAGCTGGTTAGATTCCAGCAATATTCCAAAGCACACTCTGGGGTCCTCAAGCCTCGGCCAATCTACGCCTAATACTTTACGGATTTAGGTACGCAGGCTACATCCCTCCAGGGAGAGAGAGTGGGCATTCCATTCCAACAATCTATCTCGGATTTCCATGTGTAGGTGGGCTGCATGGAATTCTCAGTTTGGTTTAGATACTCTTATGTATGGTGATGGGTTTCCGCATATATCAGACTCCCAGCTAACCAGAAAAAAAGGACAGATTAGGGAATGGGTCGGTATGATAGAGGAGGCATAATTGTTGGTGAAGGAGTAGTTGGCAGAAAAAATCAGGGAGCTCGGGGCATATACAGCAGTCAGGCATGTGCAAGTCGTCAGGGGCAAGAGCGGGGAGGAGTCCACACAAGGACACTTGCTCTTTATGTGCTCTTTAATCTCTTTTTCTTCTGTAGGTTCCCTGCTGTGGGAGTGAGAGCCCAGGTCCCAGCAGCCCAGGAGCATTCAGACAGGCACGTCGCCACCTTCCACAGACTCCCAGCAAGGTCCGACCACACATTTCCTACTGCCCCATGTTGCAGACACCCAGCCTGGCCCCAGCTCCCAGTCCGGAGTTATTGGCCACAGGATGGCGAGTGCAGGGGGGCAGCAGGAGCCCGAGCCCACACTGTGGTCCGCCTCGCTACATCTCGGAGCCCTCACTGGCACTGCATCAGGAGCCGGGCAGCCTGGACTGCCCGCCGGGGATGGAAAATCTGACCTTTGAAGCTGCCATAGCCTCCAGCCTGGGCCGGTGCCACACCATCTCCTCGGCACCTCCGCTCCGGCACAGCCGCCAGCTCCCTCCAGAGCAGCAGCAGGTCTGTGTCGGTGCTGATGCCGACCCAGCCAGCGACACGGAGCAGGATGATCGCTGCTAGCCCACACCAGATGTCAGTGTGGCCAAATTGTACAGAGCTTGAGAGATGTGCACAGACTGCCTGAGCCCCAGCATATGGGCTCTTCCGATCATTGCCAGCGGCCGTAAGGTCCACAGATTGTATTGTGTCCCCAATATTGTGCACCTGGGCCAGCTCAGAGGTCAGACAGGACACGCAAGGTATAAGGGAAGTGATCCTGGACTGGGAGTGACGGGGAC